GTAGTGCAAATCAAAATCAAATACATCACATTTATATAAAAGTGATGATGATTGAAAAGCTAAGATGAATGAAAGAAGCAGAATAGTATCATGAGCTTCACTGACCTTGTGTGTGACTGTTTTGACAGATTGAAACAAGCACAACACACACACACACATACACACACACAGACACACATCTTCTATGAAGAATCTAGGCATTCATCTCAAAAATTCAATCAAACGAATATAATGAGAGAGAGAGAAAGGCTGAGAGAGAAGAGTACCAAAGAATATTATACGAAATAACAGAGCGGAAAAACGAACGGAAGCCAGGACTAAGGCATTCTCAGACCGGTTTTTTCATGGCTCAGTTCATGCTCTCATCCGATTTGTAATAAATACAGATTTTTACAAAGAGACTTAGAAGATACACAAGCATAACAACCGGCTAGCTAGACTTCACTAACTCTCATAAAGCTTAATGGGAATAAATATGAAAATCACCTGAGTTTCATCGTTCACATGATTAACCATACAAGAGTCTTCACTCGAGCTTTTGATTCGAACACACGCAAATAGACGTCGAGATCCTTTTTGAACAACCGCACAGGCACCAACCTAAAGTAGAAATGAACTTTCTAATGTGAGGTAGTACTTACTTTGCCGCCATAGTCGCGAGCTTCACACCATTGGTTGTAGCAGTTAACTCCGGAAGATCCGGTCGAGCATTGGCATCTGCAGAAAAAAAAAGCTCAAAAACTGGTTGTGGTAGAGATTGTAGTTGTGTTGTCTTTTGAAAAAGACATTCTCATCGTTATGTAAATGAAGGTTAAAGAGAGATATGTGTGTTAGTGAGGAGAGTTCGGCTTATGTTTTCGGTTGAAACTACGACGCATCATGGATTGCAAAATGAAACTCAGAACGATTTATCTTTTCCATGAATCATAACGATTTCACTGGGTGTTCGTATCTGTTAAAACAAACTTTCAAATGAGAAATTGGAAAGAAAACACATAAAGCCGACAGATATGAAAACGCGTTGACCATGAGAAGCCATAAGAAACAAGCAACTCTCTCCTTATATTTATTAAAAAGCCAAAAACGATATGTGTAGACACGAGAAGTAAAAAAAGAAAAAGAAAAATAAAACAAATGGGTGACTAAAACATAGAATACGATGATTTGGAGCAATCAGTATACTCAGAGAGAGAGAGGGAGTAAGATAGAGAGAGAGATCGAATAATACAGCTTTGCTACAAGAGACGAAGACACAATGATCAAACTTAGTTATAAAATTGGTTATTTAAAAGTTTCACAAACCTTATACTCTCTGAGAAAGGAATGCAGACGAGAAGCAGCAAGACGATCGTCTTCACAACGAACATTGGAACGATTAAGACGTTTTGGGCCAAATTAATACTTTTTTGGATAATACGAAATAATCATCTGTCAATCACGATCGGATTTATTATGGCAGGAGGCTGTCTGCTTGAAGTGCGGATGAGAGAATACGGCTGGGCGAGATGTAGCCAACACTCAACAGCAGTGAAGGAGGCGGAGTCAGTGCCGGCGCCTACTACAGCCCTTAAGGCGGAACCAGCTGAGGAGGAGAAGAAGGAGGGCGGGGGTGGTACTATCTGGTGGCTCTTTGACACCTTCACGTCCTTTTCAGTGAGATCTTTCGTAGTTTCTGTTTGTAATGAAGCCGAATAGTTAGAAGCTTGGTTATTTGAATTAAGACTGGACGTAGGTACGCGTGAGTTGTGCAATCTATCACGTACAATGACCAATTGGCCAGTACCGGCAACTCCGTGTATAGTTAATCCCCAGTTACTGAAAATAAAAATATTAAATAAAAGAACTTTTTGAACCAATTTTCTTGAATAAATTTTTCGGAACGGAACAGCTTGAAGCGATTGTAAAGCAAAGAAGAACGCCAAGTTTTGGGGTTGAGAAAATGAATTCGATGCTTAAATTTCAGATAAGCAGACAGGCAAATGCAAAGATGCTCTGTCGGCAGACCGACACCTCAAAAGGCATGACGTATCAATCGGATTGAGTGCTAAAGAAATTCCAGTGATGTTTCTATTCAACATTTTTCAGTCTAACAGTCAGTCTCATAAGAAGATAGTATAAGAGCTAGAAAAAGCAATTGAAAATGTTCACAGCATGAGCGCGAAGAATGAGAGTGAGAAGAACAGCTGTAGTGGCCGAAAATGCTGATGTGCATACAAACAAAAAGAAAGAAACTTAATAGATAGTATAAGAGGAGTTTAGAAAACATAATCTGCAAACTTTTCAACTCATTTTGATATAAGAAGGAAGATGTAACGATAAGAAACTCGCAGATGGCACTGATACGACAACAACCATACTCAAGCATTACAGCATGAACCCATATTTTAGGGTAATTGTTTCATCATCTATCAACATATACACAAATCCATCTGACGTCACTTGTCCTCCTCAGCTTCATCATTCACACAGCGCGCAAGAGATAAAAGACGAAAAAGCTGATAAAATAATAAAAATACTTTAGTGCGCGATTGAAAAGACAAACTATCTTTTATTATTATGGATATGATAACGTAAACATGTATCGATGCTCAAACATTTGAATATAATAATACTCCATATTTAGATGAAATATGAAAACATCACCAACCTGTATGTTTGCGATATGGGTAAGCTAATGATTATGGCACGTGGATCGCGACGTACTATCAGCCTGTCACATCGTATGCTGGACAAATGTTTCGCGAGCCGACCTGTAATCGTACAAATCTAGACAATCTTCTCACTTTTTCTGAACTAAATATGGTTTGTGTTCGGTTAATCGGCGGAATTCTGTCACTCAGTGGGAAACCCGAGTGTTTATCTCCCTTCTTTTCGCAACACATATCCATGTCTGATAAGAACGTCCTTCCTTTTCTCTTTACCTGCGAGCTTCGGTAAACGTTTGCGAGGCAGATTCTCTCGGACAGGTGATACAGGCCCCATTTTCAGTTTTGGCATATAATCATCACAGCGAATCGATTTTCCCTGAAGTCAGTTATGATAGTTGGAAATCAGATTCGACAATCAACAGCGTATACAACCGCTCATCACCATCAAACAATCAGAAATTACTGATGATTCCGAGTGTTCAACGTGAACTTACGTCTAAATCGTCAATTTCAAAACGTTCAGCACCTGATGCGCTACTTTCGGATAAACCGAAATGACATGTTTCTTGGATTTGGAAGCCACCGCAAGATTCTTCTATATCTGGGGTCTACAACCATAATGTTGATGATATAACGACTTTCATACCGATAGAGGTTCAGGTGCTGGTATATTGAGAACAGGGACTTTGAAGGTACACTTCCTGATTGGACTCTTAAAGAGGTTAGGTTAATTCAAAAAAGACCCTAAAGAGCTAACAGTTAATTGACTGAAATCTATGACCGCTTTCTCTGGGACAGCGCATTTCTGAACTGTGAGTGGTCCCATGAAGTCGTTTGTTTCCATTATTACGGGACTGGCCTCACGCTTTTGAGACTGAAATGTTCAGCTCCGTGAGGATCATCTCAGTATGATTCATACACGTAGTTCAACTGTTTCCATTCTCAAGTTCACTAGACTAGATCGACGACTGAATCTCTTTGGTGTATCAGAAGAAGATGACTGAGAGCTTGAAGCGGTTTTTGATCCCACCGAATCGAGGCTGTTTCTCCTATTTCTCCAATTCTGAGAACTGTTAGGTGATGGGAAGGACAGACAGCCTCAAGTGAACAGTTTCTAATGAATCAGAAGACAGTATAGATACCTTGCAATCTTTGTGACTCTTCAATCGACACATCTTGAACTACTTGAGAAATTCTGCGAACATGACTTGTCCTAATAGGTGTACAGGGAAGCACAGGACTGAAAATAATAGATTCCGATTGAACTGATTTCATAGAACCTGTCGCATGTTGATCGTATTTCAACAGCTCTCTCCTGAGTTCTACAGACTGTTCTCTCTCTTGGGAAAGGCGATCGTCTGGCACTAGTAGTCGCTTAAAAACAATTGGAAAGTTCGTGGAACAGGAGTTGCCACTCACATGAAGTTGATTTTCTACTGGACGCACTTGATGAGCTAGAACTTGAAGCATAACTGTCTGGTACAACATCAGACGCGTTTGAGACTACGGAATCTGAGGAAAAATTCACTTTGAGAAGAAGACGTATACTGTACTAGAAGTCTTGATTGGTGGGGTTACTAAGGTACAAGCTATGACTTCTTCGATAACATTTTTTCTTTTTGCCGAATGGAGGTTCCAAGCTAATTCGAAACTAGATTGTTTGATAGTCTGAGATTGATATACCTTTTTCTACTTGAGATGATTTCTCTTTCGCGTCAGATTTGGTTACAACAGAACCTGAGAAACACAACTTCGAAACAGATTGAAGGGGTGATGAGCCAACCTTTTGCTTTAGAAGGCTCGATGTTCACTGTTTTTCGGTTAATCCACTTGGAACTCTGTTTATCTTCGTTTCCGTCTACTTTACTACTTTGGTTTGTAGACTTCCGTGCTAGTTCTTTGGGATTTCGAACTTCTTTATCTAGAAAACGCATCGATAGCTGCTCATAACTCTGCTCTCTCTCTCTCATCAGATACCGATCTTAGATGCCTTGAATGTTCTCGCACACAGCCACTCGTCTTCATCACCACTTCCAGCTATATTGGAAACTTTACTTTTCTGCAAGGAGATCCATCATCGAGCATAATTCGAAAGATATCTTTTACCCTCTTCCTTTCTACCGAACTTTTTCTTTTCCTTCCCCCAGACGATGTTTCCATCTATTCACTAACTAGTACAACGCATGTTGTTAAACGAAAAGAAATCATTCAGGTCACCAACCAACACAAGAAGCCAACTTGTTCATCCAAAATAAATATTTTATTTAGAACTCTTACATTTATTATGTTTATACATATCACATCGGTAACCTCAGCGTCAAACAATATATATTCCGAAAAACCCGTTAAAACCTAATTACGCCGTCGACTGAGGATCGTGTTGGTAAAAGTATTAGAGCTATTAGAGAACGAGAAATCTTCAGCTGGTACAGCAGACAGGACTTCTAGTCTATTTCTGAAATCACATAATTGGAAAACGTGAATTCCATTTCAATCTTACGATAGTAATGATGTTAGTTCAGCAGGAACGCTTGGCATCTCCTTGAGCAGTTTCAGATTTTCTTCCAAATATGAAATTTCATCATTTAGCTGAAAGGTAATGACATCAGAAAAGAACACAATACAATATACTCACTGATTTCACTGCGATGATGTCGAGAAGAAGAGTTTCGTCTTTACCCAGTAAAGAATATAAAACATGGGGAGTAGCCGCCGGCCGGAGATCTGTGCCTTCAAGCAAGACTTTCGCGGCCGAGCAGCAAATGTTAGAACCGTCCTGAATTCAAATTAAACTACATTTGAAAGAGAAGAGTCTACCGGCAGATTACGCAGGTCAGAAGAAAGACCAATCAAGAGTTTGTCAGGCATCGAAAGAATCAAATCAAGTACATAGGAGGAGTCTGTGAACAACAGCTTTGCTTTGACATCTATTTGCAAGATTACATAACGTAGGATGTTGGTTTACGGAATACCTTTCTTTCTTTCCAGAAGTTTCTTTACAAACGCGAGAGATTTCTTCTCGGGCTCTTCTTCCGAGAACAGAGTCAAATATCCAATGAAATGTTCATTCCCTTCAATCAAAGGAAGGACTGAAGATCGAAGACGAGAGTGAAACTAGAAACGTGAACGTTCGTGAGAATGAAATTAGTATCCAGTACCTCTTTCTTGTTTTTCCTCAAAGCACTCAAATGACCTCGCTGCTTCAGAATTCTTTTTGTTTCAGAGAGAGGACATCTGAAGGAAAAAAAGTAATATATGAGAATGGTTATTACTCACGAAGTCAAGGCATTCTCCAAAGAAGTGAAATGAAGATCCCATTCGTCAAGTTTGAAATCCTTTGCCAGCTCTAAGGCGTCGTTAAACATATCCTCCTCCTCAGTCCTATAAAATTTTATTTTACAATTTCTCATTAAATTATCTAATCTCATACATAGCCAACCCGATGATTGTTTCTTTCCTATAAACTGGATCTTCAATCAAACGTTCACGATTCACTCCTGAAACCACAACGGTTTGAGTTCACACTTTTCAAACAAACCATATGTATGAACTCTGTCAATGGCAGATGTGCTTTCATCGTTTGAATATGCCTTGGATATCAGGAACTTCGGTGGTAAAGCAGCTACCAATCTTGGTGTCAACTCGTTTTGGAAAAGCCTCAATGACTGAAACAACTTTCCAGTATGACAGACCATCAGATCGAACCTGTTCATATTGTGTTAACATTTCATTTTTCGTCCATGGTTTAGCGTGATCATCTGAATCAATCAAAGCCGCTCCAATAGCAGCCGTTGAACTTTCTCTATTCAAGAGTGAAGCAATCTAAAGATTAAAGACAGTTGATCAGCTGGTTCTCTACGAAATACCTCGCATCCAGATGTCGGGAAGTTAGAGGAATGATTCAATGCAAATCTCACATTTTCTGAAAGTTCTGCAGGTTCTACCCATTTATCAATCTGAAAAACAGTTTTGAGAGCCTATCATGAAAGCTTCTTCGCAGCACTCACTTTCGTATACATAGGATCGAGAGTTAGATCCGATGATAGCTCGATTTCTCCAATTTCAGTGAAAGAATGTTGCATCTTACAGCTTCTAATAACTTCCAGAGTTGAGAAGAGCTCATTGTCAGGACAGTTCAACAACGCACAAGCATATATTTCCCCAATATTCTTCAAAACAAAATATTATATGGGAGATCCATAGCAATCATACCGTTGGAGAGTAGTCTGAGTTAATAATTTTCATACACAGATTGTGAACAACTGGGATATCTCTAGCCTGAAGAAGAGGAAAACTATTGGATCAGAGTAGTGAAATAATAACCTTGGAAATAACTTCATGAATATACTTCTCTAAATAATGCTCATCGTGATTATCGATAGCCGCTAAAGCACAGAGGGATAAGGCAGTCGCTACAGGAGTTGATATTCCTAGTAGAACTGCCAACTTGGCACATTTCTTTCCCTGAGAGAGGAGATACAGAGTCAAAAATTCCTCGGAAGTGACTAACTTGTTTATAATTCGACCCAGTCGAAATGACTTCCGTTAGAAGAGTCATAGGATCTGTGAAGCGGACATTGACTGGCATTATACGTGATCCTAACTCTTGCACCAAGTCAATGGTGTCCAAAAGCTTGATTAGTTCCTTCGCTTCTGGCGATATCTATTAATAGGTTCATTATTAGTTAATTTCTATAAATCTTACTTCACATGCTAAATTTGCCAAAAATCGAGACTTCTTCAAATTAGGATCATTAACAAGGACGGCCTCTTGTAAGGCTTCATTACTCTGCCTCAATAGAATCTGTAAGCAGTGCACAGTGATGAAGATTTGATTAGTCGTTTTCACCTCTCCTGATTTTTCCCAACCTAGTTTGTTGTTCTCTGTTTTTCGCGAACCGGATTTAGTAAGTGTCAAAACAGTGTTGATGGTGTTGAGATCATATCCAGCTTCTTCGGATGCCAGCAACTCACAAGCCAATATATCAAGAACCATTTCTTCGGATATGAACTTCGCATAAATACTGCAATAGAACGGATACAGTTCTGTTACGAAGTATAAAAGCAAACCAATTAGCAAGTTGAATTAGATCGTCGCGTAAGATTTCCCACTCCTCGGCTGTATGAGCTTGGCCGCAACATGCCACTTGCATGAGCAAAGCTTTAGCGAAAGGTCTGCAATCAGTACGGTGAATTTTTAGTTAACATCTTTCAACTAACAATTCTTGTGTACTGTTCCAGATCTTGACGAAGGTAGGACGAACATCGCGGTCGAGGAAAACCTTGATGGCGCTTACAATATCAGATGAAATGGACAGGGTTCTAGCTGCTGCTAACAACTCGTCTCCCGTAAGAGTGAGATTGCAGAGACATTTGATAATCTGTAAATAATAAATAGAACTGAGTCATCAGACACTGAATACCATGTCTGTGTCGATATACTTAGGGAAAGATTTGAGGAAATGGTGAAGCGCTTTGATGTTACCACGACTAGCGACTTCCAGGATTTGAAGCAAGTAGGTTTTGACTTCCTTTTCGTCTTTCAATTTCCATTCTAGGTAATCAACAACTTGAGGAGAGCACTTGATCAGTTCTGGCACCATAAGCTACAAACAAAACTTTCCTTAAGAGAATAAGAACCATCTCATACAGTTTTAAGTTGAACAACAGCTGTGTCTGCCGACATATGTATGAAAGAATCGAAGTTCTCATTGACTAATCCACACATCAGAACATGAGCTCTATAGAAAATCCATGAAGGCAAATCAGTGTTCAATTCCTGAAAAACATAGAGCGTAGAACGCATCATATAAACAATGAACACCTTGAATCCATTTCGAACACTTAATCTCAATAACTCAACAACATGGCTTGGGAGCCCGCATTCTTCGTCGATTTCGTTAATTCGTGAACGAACCCAACTCAAATAATCCTTCTGCGGTCTTAAAAGCAAAAGATGAATTCGAAGAATATCAAGTAAAAGCTACAATATCTCTTCTTTTCCCTGCTGAAGCTCTCTGAATAGCTCTGCTTCAGGACCTTTAGTGAAACCAACGATTTGTTGTACATACTCGTTCATGCACTGCAAAATTCGTGTTCTCTTTGATGAGGAAAAAAGTAAGTACGTCATCTATTTGATCCAACTTCCACGTGGAGCTTGGTAAAAGGAATTCATATTTCTGGGGAAGAACACTACAAGGAATGTGAGCTGCAACGTTTAAAACATAGTCCAGAAGAAAAGAATAGTTCTGTTCGAAAATCTTCTCGAGTTCTCCAAAAAGACAGCGCTTAACATGATGAAGTAGTAATGAGAAGCTCATTCTGAACTAACTTGAGCGAAGCAAAAAGCAATTTCAAGACAAGACTTGTCTCTAATTTGAAGGAAAAGGTTCACATCTGAACAAACGTTCAACACTCGAGCATGATGCAGTAGAAGGAGCTTCTGTTGATCGGTGATATCAAATAGAGACAAGCCTAAACAGGAAATCAGAATGATCCAATAAAGAATCCTCACCAAGAAGAACTAATTCAATATGCAGATCACGTATGGGAGATGTACAACTCAAACATGCATTGGCTACCCATTCATCATCACCAATGTTTTTCTAAAATAGTAGTGTTGAAAAACAATATTATAATGAAGATATTTACCAAAATATCTTGAACATGTTCGATCGCCAACTCTTTGGACTCCGATCTGTCCATCCACTCCCTCTTGAAGATTAAGTTGATGTCAATGCAGGCAAATGACTCGGCTAACTCTTTCGCTCTACTATAGTTCTTCTCATTGAGCTGAAAAACATTCACATTCATTCAGCTCGCCACAATCCTTGTCCTCTTACCGTTCTCTCCAGAAGTTCTTCGAGCGTTCTCGTGGGAGAATGCCAAACAGCAAATCCTAGAACTTCAGAATGAGTAGCCATCTGCAGAGGTGAAGCTGCATCTCCAACAGCCATTCCCACAAGCTATAACCGAATTATGTATTCAGATTAAAAATCTCATACAAACTTGTTTGAAAGATCGCCAAAAAGTATATATCCATAGTCTGAAGGCTAAATGAGTTCTCTGATTAGCAACCTCGCAGAGCGCTGAGCTCCCAGGCTAAAAAAGATTATTGAAACATGGAGGAAACTCATTAACAAACATCTCCTTCAAGAATGAAGAGTTCCCTGAATCCAGGAACAGCAATAACAGTTCTAGTAGTAAACTTATACTCCGATTTGTTTGAGAGAACGGCTTCTTCGATTTCATCTAACTGTGCTCGAACTAATTCCCCATTATCGAAAAGAATAGTTAACTCCTTCAAATATATCAAAGCATCACACTCGAAGAGGAAAGAAACAAACCGATTCGTCGGTGAATAATGCTTGGACAGGCTTCCTGCCTGATATATAAGTTATGCTAAGGTAAGATGCCATAGAAGGCACGTCGAATAAGTAAAAATCTCCATTTGTTGATACAGCAGCGAGTTTTAGGTTAGGAGTGGATGTCACAGACATTGAAGCTATATAGGCGAACTGTCTTGAAGATAGAAACTGACTTGACCATTGGAGCCATCCACCTATGCATCACAGCATCAAAACGAAAACATCATAGAACCTACTACTATCTTCCATTATTCTGATTGGTTCTAAGTGGGGATAACTGTCAACCATTCGAAAAGTACATAAGCCTCCTGGAGGTTTGATTTTGCCTTCAATTTTTTGAGTTTATGAAACTTGACTACCCTTCCGGAAAACCTGAGGTATTGTAATGTGCACCAACAACTAGCAAGTTATATTCTGGGAAAATGTGAAAGCTTCCACAGAGTCCTATACCCAATTCAGTGGACCATAGTTTTTCAAATCTAGTCAATCTTCTGAAATCAAAACTACTAAACCCCAAAAAATCATAGCCATTGCTCACCCTAGTTTGTAGGCCGAGAATATGCCGTTGTACTGTAGAACATACAAGATGTCAAAATGTTTGTCATCAGGATCTAAGCTGTTGTTTACAAAAGTTTTCATACACGAAACTCCGTGCATAGGATCCACACTCGAAGTATCACATTCCTTAGAGAAATCAAAAAGTTTAAAAATATCTCGCTCGTTTTACCAATGGAATATCATAACAGTATCCTCCTGTATTATCAAAAACATCTACTTGAGCAGAACTTCTTGTGGAAAGAATGAATGTACCCGATGCCGAGAATTCTAGTAAGCAGAACTCAGCAAACTCGTCTTCCAACACTTCAATTCGGATATAATGACACAGTAATCAGAGTATCAAACCTTGAACACTTGATTCTTGAATAGCGTCTTCTCCCTCTATACTATATACATTTAAAACTCTATTGTGGCTCATTGTAGCTACACGATCAGCCTTTCTGAAGCAGAACAGTTTCAATATCCTCTTTCCGTTGTGAACTCACGGAGAAACAGCCAATTTACAAAATGGCAAAGATCCCACATGACTAGCAACATGAGCAGGAATAAATAAGTTTGGACTCTTTATTTCTACAGAATCGGTATAGCGGAGAAGTTCAAACTTCTCCTGAAGTAATGAACGACGATCTACCATTTTAACACTAGCGAATAAATTTCTTCTGAGAAGCTAAAGTTGGAACAACAGTTTTATAACTGTCGTGAGAACGGAAATAGTGATTGCGTACAATGTTGATTTGTGGAAGATTGGAAGCTAATCCATATTCTGATCTTGACCGTCCCATAGACTAAAACCCAAAAAACTTGAAAAACATATTTGTTTTGAACATTACCTGTTCATAGAAACTGAGATCTCCTTATAATAATTCATGTGAAACTCATCGATTCTGAATATGAAACTATCTTAGTCCTGTAAGTTGAGTACTAACGAGTTAGTGTCATCTTCACTGCATTGTGTTTCGCATAGATAAACTTTTCCTGTTTCAGCTGTTAAGACATCATCACCTAAACTTAGATCGCATGCTTCCTTAACAGACACAATTATATGTTATTCTTAGGTGGAAACTACTTCTTCCGCTGTTTCAGTTGAACTAAGTGATTCGGAAGAATAAGATCCGCAGGTATTTTCTGATTGGAAACTTGAATTCATCGTGTCATCGGAAGCGTAATAAGAGCTGCATGATATTGATTTACATAGTAAATTTCATTTAACTCTACCCGGACACACTCTCTTCATATAACTCGGCTGTTCTAGTTGATTTTTCGCCTGAAGCGTCAAAATCTTGCTCCTCCTACACATGTTCTATGAGCCGTAGAAAAGATTCTCAGAACTAACATCGGATATATAATTGGCTGGGATCAAACTGGATTCAATAGTACACGCTCTCTGCATATCCTCATCGAGGTAATAATCAGAAATCTGAATTGAAATTCGAGAAGAAGGATGATTATAAACTGACAAATCTCGAAGGCATATGCTTTTCGAAGCAGAAAAGGCTAATGTATCCACCCTCTGAAAAGGAGAAGCAATGATTACCTACACTCATGAAAGAACAACCATAATCGTTTTCATCGTTATCAATTGAAGCAGCCATGAGGATAGACAACCCTTCACCTCACTGGCAATGTTCAAAATGATTTGAACCAAGTCACGCACTTTTCACGTGAACTTTCCACGTATCCAAACAATTTCAATAATGACGCTAGTTGGTTTTGAAACCAAAATTATTTATTAAGATATGCACTAATACGAAATTATAAAATATTATAAAAATGCAAATGATATGCAAACTATTATGGATTGGCACTGTGGAGCCAAATAAAAATGGCAACTTTAGCTACATTAGATGTGAAAAGCTGTGTTACACTAGGTTGAACTGAACAAATCAGATAATTATTTGAAAATATCAAAAGCGATGGATCAGAAGTGAATCAAAAGAAGGGAAGATATAAAACAGACCAATATTTCAAACAAACCAATAGTTTAACTGTAGGCGATACTCATTACTCCTTTGGTGTTCAGGAGACAACACGTTTGTCTCGAAATTTAATCAATGAATAGTACAGGAAAATGGAAATGTAATACCCTACTGCTTAATTATGAGATATTCTTATTTGAGAGTTATTTAAGTTCACTCTATTGCTTGTATGGGTTCTTTCGTGTTTAGTTAAGTGATCACTTCTCATGAACTTCTTTCCACAATGCGAACAAGTGAAACGTTTTTCTCCTGTGTGCGTTCTTCGATGTCGTTGAAGCTCGTCACTTCTGGAAAGGCAAGAGCGTAAGCTTGGGATATCATTGAATTGAACAGTACCTTGTAAACTTCTTTGTACAATGCTGCCAGTCACATGCGAAGGGCTTATTTCCGGCATGACCGCGAAGATGCGCTCGTAAATGTGACGTTTTACCATAAGTTTTGTTACAAATATGACATATATGGAGGCGTTGCTTTCCATCACCGCTGAAATTCCGGAAAATTATATGCAATTAGAGTGTGACAACGTACGTTCGTTGTGTACTGTTGTTTTGGCAATTGGGACATGTACATGCACATCTTTTAGGGACTTGACTCTGGAAAAGGAAAATATCAATGTCTATATTGATTGATAGATTATACATCATTCAAATTGGCTGTCATAGCATCGTAATCGGTATTCATCATCGGGCTTTCAGCACCACCATTCATACGGGTTGGCATCGCCGGTTGCATTGGCTGATGGGCTGTAGGGGCTGGATCATTGGTAATAATCCATTTCTGCGGATCATTCGGATCCTGTTGAAAATGAAGGTTTCCTGCAAAAGCGACATTTCAGAAAATGGTTTACAACACGAGATAAGAAAAGGGAAACAGTACGTACCGAGGGTGATCCGATGCTGCGTAGAGGGAGCTACCTGGGGCATTGGGGCGGGTTGACTCATGGATGCCATGGATTGTCTATCCAGCCTCTCCTGAAAAGAAAGAGTAAAAAACATTATTCAGTAATAAGCGTACCGTAGACAGGGAGGATTGATTCATTGTTTGCATATTGCTTAAAACCGTCATCTGCTTTTTAGGGGCTCCATTATCGGCAGGAACTTGTACAGGAATGAAAGTTATCTGAAAGATCACATTTTATAGGACAGGCAACCGTAGGACATCAAAATAGAACAGAATAAATCGACTGAGCATGGAGATATCGAGTAAAAGAAGGAAGGTTGCTCCAAAACGAATTCTGCCTAACCGTCGTCTCCGTCGGTGTTGACATTAAAACGCTCATAAAAAACGAACCTGAGGTTGCTGACTTCCCGGCTGAAGTAGGTAGACTTGTTGTCCTTGTTGTTGAGCTGCAGGTTGGCTAGGTTGAGCAGCATTTGAAGGTTGAATGAGTATCACCTTGGACACTGGCTTTGGTAATATGGGCGGTTCCGACATGGAGCTGTGGGTGGGAGGGGCGACTGACGGACCGCCCGCACCCGATAGACCACGCCCGTCAGCTCTTCGCGCGCTCTGCGCTCTCCGCGTCACACACTGCCTAACAGGGCACCTACTTCTCTGACTCTGACAAACTAACCTTAAGTCCCGCCCATTTTAGCTCTCTTGCTTTACACACGCAGGAACTGTCTGTATCTCTTTAAAGAACATAGTCTCTGCGCGTATTGTCTATTTCGCTTGGCTGTTGGGCACGGGTTCCGCCTTCTCTGATTCTTCCACATTTCCAGCTACATTCGATTGTTGACGTTGGAATGTTGTCGTCCGTTCTTGAAAAGATGAAGGGAGGAGAAAAGGACGTCGTCGAAGGGGAACGATTGTATGAAGAAAATCTTCGAAATTCCATGTAGCAATTGTTCGCATTCGCCTTTTTCTTCTTCTTTTTCTTTTATTAATTTGACATAAAAAGGATATAACAGATTCAAAATTTATAAAAATCTATCGAACCAACATAACAAAAACAAAGTACTAAGACTCGCAATAACCAAACCACTGAAAAGCAGGTTGCAGACAAGAATCAATCAATGTTAAATCGATCGCGGGCTGGACTTTAAATGTCGTTATGGTGCATAGACAAGTAGCACTACTTCTTCTTTCCAGCAGTCAATCCAGCACCAGCGTTAAACTTGAAGAAGATGATATCACCATCCTCAACAATATAGGTCTTTCCTTGTTGGCGATACTTTCCGGCAGATTTGACCTATAATACACATCTTGAAGCTACTACTTTTGATTTTGGTGTATGTTCCTAATCTAGAACGTGACGATTATTCAAAGCTCGTGTTCATTAGGATCGCATGCTGGGAACTACATTCGAATACGAGCCAAACACATCGAGTCTTTAACTAGGTCATCAAGTGCGTCAAGCAATAGATCTTCACTGGTATCTACGAAACCTCTCCTACCCAACTTCCGACAACCATACATCACGAGTTATTACCTTATTTTCATCTCCAAGCTCTATTAAGTCAGCGACCTTCATAACTTCTGCCATAATGAATCCCTTCTCGAAATCTGTGTGGATTCTTCCGGCAGCTTTTGGTGCATTAGTACCTTTCTGAAAAAGAACGATGTGAATAGGAAATGCTGAAACTTGGTAAACCTGGATAGTCCAGGCTTTAACTTCATCCTTTCCAGCGGTGAAGAAATATTCCAGTTGGAGGGCTTTGTATCCAGTATGAACAATGTAAAAACATATAGTCAGATAGCAGTCAAAATTGCCAATTGCTTATCTTATCTAAGGCAGACGTAGCTTCTTGCTCCTTAAGGAATTTGTCTCGTTCATCGTCGGGCATTTCAATAAGTTTATGCTCGAATACTCCAGAGAATGGAATGAGCACAGCTCCGGCATCTTTCTCATCAATCCATGCCTTAATCTTAGCAAGCCACTTGTTTTTCTAAAATAAAAAGTCAGATAGGTCACAAGGCTTATAAACCTTTCTGATGTAGTCCTTCTCAGATAAGTTGACAAGATAGACGATAGGCTTGGCAGTCAAGAAAAGATGCTTGTTCAAAACCTATGATTAGAAGTTAAGAAACCATGGATCAAAACGAGAGAACCTCAATTTCCTTCTCGTTCCAACTCTCATGACGAATGAACTTTCTCTCTTCCAATAGCTTTTGCACCCTCAAAAGGCATTCGTACTCAACCTAAAGTCATTTGTGAGCGAGATGAGAAAACATCCAGGCAAACCTTTTTTGTTTTGTCGTTGGCACGAGTGACCAGAGTTTCGACTTTCTTTAAGGGTCCATCGATGAACTGAATATCTTTCGCGAAGAGTTCTTCCATGATGATATCCAAATCACGAGTAGGGTTAACTTCTCCTTCGACGTGAGTAACATCATCGTCATCGAAAGCACGACAAAGATGGAAGAGAGCATCACAAGCTGAGACATGAGACAAGAAAGCGTTTCCGAGTCCCTGACCCTCAGAGGCTCCTAAACGTTCGTTTTCAGAAACAGAACAACCCTCGACTCTAACCCTTGACAAGTCCAGCAATATCAGTAACATTCAAGAAAGCTGGAACTTTGCTAGCTGGTCCATAGTGTTCAACAAGCCAATCGTAACGAGTATCAGATACGGCAACCTTCAAACGGTAATTTTCAAGACTGTGCTACAGGTAGACACTTACTCTACTCTCGTTAGGATCGATTGTGCAGAAAGGGAAGTTTTCAGCTTGAGCAGCAGACTTCGTTAGCACATTGAAGAATGTACTCTTACCGACATTTGGTAATCCCAAAATACCGACCTAAACTCAAACATTCAGAAACGAAGCAACCCAGGTTTAAGACCTTCAAGTTGGTTCCAAGTCTTCCAATGAGAGCTGGTCTCTCGTCTTCAACCTTCTTCTTTGGTGGCATTTTCTGCAGTGAACCCTGAGGATTTAAGGCTTAATTGAATCACAGAACAAGACAACACGATAGGTAAGAACGCCGTAAGAAACGGAAAGAAATACACGTCGAATGTCTTTTGAGACTTTTACTGACCGTACAGGTTGGAAAGTAACAAGATTATAAACAACAATGAACGGGATGTGTGAGAGAATCCAAATGATAAATAAGCAACAAGTGCATAATGAGAGATCTCGGGCCACTTTAGAAAGGACGTGGTGGCATTCCAGGAGCTGCAGGGAATCCAGTAGGAACCATACCAGCCATACCTGGTCCTCCTATAAGAAAGTCATGCTTACAAACAATTTTGAAACTCTTGTTACTCACCAACACCAGCAACAGCTCCGGAAAGTCCACGAGGTGGAGCAGCAGCAGGCATACCAGTTGGCATAACTGGCATACCTCTTCCAGCAGGCTTAGCTTGTCCTGGTCCGGCAATACCTCCAGCTTTAGGGAGTCTAGAAGAATCATCATCCTAAACAATAATATTTTAATTGATGCACGATTCTAATGCTTACTCTAGATGGTGGTCCGTCAACAGTCATAGAAACAATATGTTCACCACGGAGAAGAACAAGTCCAAGAACTCGCTTCTCTTCACCTTCTGGTGTCTAAAGATACAAAAAGTAACGAAGATATAGAACGACGATACTACCTTCTTTCCTGGCTTAGGCTTAATTTGACGGAATTCCTCGCAATCTGCTAACAAAATGTTCATATGCTTATCGAAAGCTGAAAAGTCGAAAAGTAAGATAAGGAGATGTACTTACAGCAAACCTTTGAAATATCCGATGAAAGTACGTCCATCTTGCAACATGATCTTCATCCTGAAGTTCAGGTGAGCCATCATCTTATTATTTTTACTGATAGTCTATAACAAACATATAATTTATAAGTCGCTATCCTTTCAACACTTACCATCTTGGCAGATTATTGGTTTAATGAAATCTAATACAGGAGATCTCTGAAATTCGAAAAAGTGAAATGAAGAAAAGAATAACGCGTGAAGAGCTACGACTTTCACTTTTCGAGAAAAAACAACAAAATATTGATATCGATGAACAATTAAGGTTAAAAAATTGTAGAAAATTCAATGATGCATCTTCGAAAAATGTATAGCGTTTGCCAATTTTCAAATGCTTTTCCATGTAGGACCTTTTCTTGCCGCCCTTTAAGAAAAACCAGCCGAGGCAAATGCATCTGTTCAGCTAATTATTCCGAATAAGCAATAAAGTCTCATGCAAAATTCAAAAATAATTTTGAAAATTCGCTTTTCGTATTTCACTTGTATACTCGCAACTACATTTTTGTATAAGAACGGAGTATTCGAATACACAACCGCTCCCCGTCTAAGCGAAAATGAAAATGGTGGGCATGTGTGAAAGGCGCCGGTTCATGTCATTCAAACAGTTTCTGATTTGTCTCTCGAAGAGTACCCTTGAAAAAGAAAATATAATGAAAGATTTATTTGAGCTGAAGGTAATTCATGTTTTTTGTGAGTATGGACTCCTTCCGCAAGAAATCTTTATCAAAGATTGAAGAAGTCTTTGGTTCTCCACATATATCCTTCGTTGTTGTTCCATCTATCCATAAGGAATATAGAAAAACATATTACGAATATCGCTTCTTTACCTGCATAGGAGTTCGCCTGGCCGGAACACTTTTGCTCCTGCTGACGGGCCGCGAATTGATCACACTTTTGGATTCCAATACCTATGTTATAAAGAAGAGTAATAGAGAAGTGAGACTACATTCGTACGCGCTCTCTGTGTGCGATGTAGTTACGCACTTGCTCATGTCTTCTAATTTGTTCCATAATTGGAAATGAATATGCCGATCTAAACAAATGAGATTATTGTGCAGGGGGGAAAAAGCATTAATTGTGAGTTGAAAACAGATTAGGGTTATATTTCCTATCCTTTATAGAAAGATTATTTATTTCTGAGCTATCCTTGTTGTCTAGGCAACGATTAAATTGATGAGGCGTGTACATGCTATGCTATAAATGATCTTGTTCTTGGCAAAACGGAAACGTAAATTAGTATTTTGAGTTATTTATTGGAAATAACTGAAATTGTATATACAGAGAATCGAGCAACAAAATACCCTTGAAGGTTAAAATGTAAGTGAGGATCATGGATATGTATGAGTGAGATATCAATTTGGGAATGAGTGACATGCTAATGATAAATTGAAAAAAAAACAATTTGCTATCAATATACTCTACTTATGTTGGCATCATCATCTTGGTCAGAGGCAATGTCGCCTCTATCGTTTCCTTCTTCTTCTTCTTCATCATCTGGCATCGTTACGTCAGCCGAGTCAGTCTCGTCAGGTGAAGTTGTCTCTTGAGCCTCAGGTGATATGCGAGGTCTTTTCGAGGGAACTCCTTCATCGTCATTGTCATCGCCTGAAGCTTCTCCACTCTCGTCAGGAATAGCGATATTCGCTTCAAAAATGTCTTGGTTGATTCGAAAGTCTCGCATTCCAATGGAATTTCCCTGAAAGCAATATTGATAGACTTAGGCAAGAGCACTTCAGGAATTACACGAATCTGGAAATCCAAGCGGTCATCTTTCAATGCACGAGATAGCAATAAGACTCTGGTTTGAAAAGTTTCTCTGACTTTTACATACTTGACGTAAGTAGTTTCGTCCCTTTTCGCCTTGGCAGCCCTAAGTTCGTAGATAAATGATATAAGGAATCATATTGAAGCTTACTGGACTTTCTTGTTATTGCTTCTAAACTCGTTAGGAGCCAATAAACCAACATGCTCATCCGCAGTGGCCATTATAGCATGCATCTAAGTATTTGTGTTAAGCAAAACATATTTGCGAATCACCTTAAGTTTCAGAAAAGTAGCCAACTTGTTAACACATTCCCATTCTATCATTTCTGGTACGATTTTTACATTGTTCAGAAGCTGAAGTTAGACCTATATGCCTACATTTCATCTGTTCAGTCATACCATTTCAACGGGAGCATCTAGAGCGGTGAAGAGATAAGTCAAAGCTTGAGCAACTTTCTCTTTTTGGATGTTGAACTTCGTATGGAATTGCAGCAACCGATTGACGACATCACTCGAGTCTTCACATTTGGAAATAGAGAAGCTCAATAATGTATCCACTGGAAAGAAGACTTAATAGAGATTAAACGATTTCAAATTACTCGTGGTGTCTTTCGGGTAGAATTCAGAGGCGAAAACAACAATCTGCCTCACCGACGTCAACAACTTCTCCGTAGTGGAGATGAGAAAATCACAAACTTGAGGAGTGGATGATTTGTCGATGAAAGCATATTTTTGGACAGCATCCTGAGAGAAATGTCTTAAAGAAGTCGAACGCTCTCTCCTACCTCATTCTGAAGGAACTTTATAACTTCATCAGCAATCGTAGTCAAAGAGAGAGAAACCAAATGGTCAGTATCGGATGCTCGAACTGCGAGCTTAGATATAAACTTCAGCAATTCTTTCAGAATGGCGTTATTATCTGTAAACAACAAAGTAATCTGGGATAAGGAAGTAGAAAACATACCGATGGTGCTATCAAACCTCTCCAAAGTTCTCAAAACAAACTTGAAAACTGTATTATAGGCATTTCTGTTATTGGTTGCACTCAGAATTGAAAATGAAGCCTGCGATTAGAATGAAAGTCAACAAGGATTCTCTTTATCTCACTTCAATGACAGCCTTTGCTTGTTTTTCGAACTCAATTGAATGCTTTCTCTTATCAGTTGAATCGTCATTGCTTCTTTCCAACGTCAGGATTGAGAAGAAGATTTTCGTCATCAGAATATGTACTTGACGTACGAGTACGACATTGATACCTTCACTTCCTAAGTTATCTAGCGCGGAACTAAGAGAACCTTCCGGTTCAGGACGTTGCCCTGCATTTATAATTGCTCAAAGTGGATTATCCAACAACTCACATATTTGTGCGATTTTCTCAGGGTAATTGACCAACTTGTTCGATAAATAGCGCAGTATGTCACTGTAGACAACAATGGCATCTGTTTTGGAAGAATCGTAGGATGGAATCTCACGAATCCATTCAACGCAATCTGAGCCGGTATAGAAGTTCATGAGTTTGCTCAAAATCGATAGTCTGTTTTGGAATAACTGAAATACTACTTACTAAGCAAGATTCTTCAAATCTTCTGTCTTCGAGACCGCGGAGTGAAGTGGATGATTTGATTGACTCAAGAACTAAATATGCATTATTCGTAAGATACTGGAGGATTAGGCGTACCGTGCTCAACGACTTGCCTCGCTCAATGGCAAAGTCCAGAAGCTCCTGTTTTATAGCGTAAAGATCGTGATCCTCGCCTTCACTAAATTCAAAATTCAAAGCAGTCAATAGCAGTACATACATTTCCATTGTTTTGTTGAGAATCTGAAAGATGGTTTCGGCAGTAGTGAATATAGCACACTGATGCAGATCAAGATCATTCTTGTCATCGCTGGCACGAGCTGGAACTTCTGGTTAGGTACAGATACAAAGATGGAAAGCATACCTTTTGTTTCTTTTCGACGTACTGTCCTCTCATTCAGCGTCTGTTTCAAATCCTTGCGACGGTTCAAGATAGCTATGAGATAGTCCTTATCATCCGACCTAAACAATAAATAATAAATGACAACTAAAGATCCGAACTTGTTCAATATGGCAACTCTTCTCCATACGTGTTCTATCAGCGTGTTGTATAAGCTGCACATCATGTTCGCAAAAATGAGAGTCTGCTTACCAGGTCGAGTAGAGGGATCCCACTCAGCGACTTTATCAAGCGCTGAAACAGTTATTTGAGATCTTTTGCAATTATCTAAGCATACACAAATCTGTCAAATCTTTCCTAGAAGCATCCGCGACCCAGGTACTCAACAACTGACTAGCACGATTAATCAGAACATCACTAGCTTGAGTCTCATTTTCCGCTTCTCCATTAACGAACGTGTGACACATGAGTACTTCCAAAGCCTGTGAATATATATTTTTCGTGTACCTCATACAAGATGAAAAACGTCACTGTTTCTGACAAATAATAATGTCTTAATCTAACCTGGATGAGATGAGGCATAGGCTCTCTCAGTAATGTTATATCTGCTGATGAAGCAACCATAGTTTCAGGAGTCCACGCTGGTGCTGCAAGAAACATATTATAGTACCCCAAGGTAGTACACACTGGTTGAAGCATGAGAGATGAGCATCTCCATGAAGGGAGGGATCAGAGAGGGACTGCGCTCTATGGCTTCACAAATTCCATCATAGAAAGCAATTCTGAAAACGTTCGTGTCTCTAAACTGTTTTTATAGATGAACTGACTTTGTTGTGACTGGCTGTGTGAGACATCTCTTCAAAATGCCTGTAATTTCTAAAGATAACACATCATTGGTTCCTCTTTGCAGTCCCATTCTGCTCAAGCACTGAATGCAAACTGTTCGATGAAAACTCAAAAACCAACAACACCTGGGTTGAGAAGCTTCCAAACGATTGTGACATATTTCCTTCTCTCAAAGCAGCTGTCTTTTTCTTACTCACACTCCTTAAAAGTACAAGCAAAATAGGCACAGCAGCTGTGACTTTCGTAGGATCAATCAAATCTTTCTGAAAATGAGGGAGTCAGAGGAAAACAAAGAAACCGATTCAACCTTCAAACTACGGAATAAAGATTCTTGTAATTGAGTTCTGTTACTGATTATAGGTAATAAGCAACGAATCAAAGAAATAGCAACATCTCTCTTCATGCGACATACATAATCGAATAAGCCTAAGAACAAGTTGCAGATGAAATAAAATTTTTTTACCATCTATCAATTTCCAATTGCTGAGTATCTCAACTGTACGGCGTTTGACAACTTCCAGAAGAACATCTAGAATATGAGGACAGTAAGAAGATTTCACAGTCAAACAAGCCTATAAGAACAAGAGCTGATTGCAACGAAGATGTTGAAGCTATGCTTTGAAGGAGCTGAGGCAAATGCGTCTCGATTGATGACTGTTGAGCTAACATACACTGAATAACCTTGTTATATGCAGAAAGAAGTAACAAAAAACCTCCTGTGTTATCTTACTTGCGAATAACCAACAACTAGGTCCTCCGGCAACTCTGCCGTCAACAATGATAACCTGAAGTTAGAGAAAGTTGTTAATCTACAAAGCGGAAGAAATCAACCTCTTTAGTAGAACTTATTTCTAAAACGGACTGAATCAAACTGAGCACAGGAGTGCTCAACAGCTTCCACCAATTCTCATCGTCAAACAAGTGAACTACGTTTTCAAACTGAAACATGCAATTTCGGAAAATAAGTTGAAGACCTCCGACCTGTGCACGAAGTTTACTAGGATATTCCCCACTTCCACAAGCTTCTACCCAGCCGAATTCCGCCACATCATCTTCAAACTTCCAGATTTTCATCAGAGTTCTCCGGATAAGAGGTAATAGAGTAAACTGAAATCCAACATAACTCGTTTTTGTTCCAAATCCATACCTTGTATCTATCGATTCCGCAGATGCAAAGTAGTGTTATGAATCCCAAACTGCTGTTCAAGACCTCTCCTTTCAAAGTCTGTACAAACCATTATCAAAGAATTAAAAAAATCGCATTACTTTGAAGATATTCATGAAAATTTTGGAAACTTCCGGATGCTCAGATAAAGTCTTGTAGATCAAAGTCATACAAGGCAAGAGTTGAGTGCGTGTGTTTTCGGTATTGAAAGGCCAGATAGTAAGAAGACATTTAAGGAGCTTTTCGCATCTATAAAGTTTGCATTTGATTCTATAAAAGAATAGCAACTCACATTTTCTCATTAACAATCTCTAGGAGGCAGACTGCCTTAATAGTCACAGGTAGCTTATCTTCGTCTTCATCTAAGTGCTCTTCCAAATAATCATTTACGAATCTCTCAATCAGGTATTTGCAGTCCAATGATCTGAGAGCCAGAAAGTGATCGGAAAAAGATAGCTAAGCTCACGTCATCATATGAAGTAATTGTTTGAAAGTGCTAGCTTTACTTTTCACAAGCCATTCATTAAGAATGTTTTCCACAAAATATTTCCCGTCCAAAGTACTATTCCCAGCAGGCATCTGAGAAACAGTTCATTACTCAAGTGGAACTTGAACCTACATTGGGCACTTCTTTGATACAGCTGAATAACAGAACATTACAATCCCACCATCTGAAAGCCATGATTAACTTCGGAGGAACCAATGGAAGAACCTCTTCGTAGGTTCAATGTCTTCGTCCATGATTTCATCGTTCAACTTCAATAATTCTTTCAAGTCTTCGGGAGAACATTTCTCAATCTAGAGGAGATAGGAAAACGTTCTCTGAAGACAGCTTACTTCAACGGTTAGTGTTTTATACAACGGAAAGAAAATATTTCCAGCAATATTGTAAGTCTTCAACTTTTGAAAAATCAGTTTAGCGGTTGCCAACCGTTTTTCGCTGAGATCACCTTCATCCCCTATTAATTCGATGGCAGAAAACCTTAAGGGAAGAAATGAAGGGAAGCCATGAGCCAACTAACCATGTGATTGCGAAATTTTTAAGTAACAGTCCATCTTTGTCAGATTCTGAACATAAGTATTTGTGGATTTTGTCCCTTCTTCTGATATCGTGGATCTGTTTTAAATAGTTTTTGATTTGATGTAAAGCTCTGGGATCAATTTCATCCTTCTGAAGTCCTTCCACCTATTAATCAGTACCTATTACGAGGATGTAGACTGACAATTACCTGTTTCAATTTTTCCGAAAAATCGGAAAGGAAACTACCGATATTTGCTCTATTTCTTTGTGTTGAGGATTGACCCGAAACTGAGCTCAAATCTTGTGTCATCTGTAGCGAAAGCGAGAAGATGAGAATGAGACACAAGAGATGGATATCATCGGAAACACCTAAGTCATAGGAATAGGGCGAAAGCTCATAATTTTTATGCATTGAAGAGATAATAAACAAACTTGACAGTACTTCATAGCTAAGGTGTGTTAATAAATTATGATTAAATGACGTGTAAGAAGTTAATTGTAATGCAGATTATATGTACAAAGGAACACCTGTACTTCATTTAATTGTACATGCTTAAAGAATGCATGATTGACAGTTTAAAACGTGAATAAGTTAGCTTAGAAGAAAAAATTCTCCGATAAGGTCCATGTCAACATCGCCACTCTGCTCAATGCCGAGAGCGTTATGGATAGTTGGCGGAGTAACCAACTGTCCAGGATTCATATGATTGGACACCTGAACAGTCAAGTATAACAATAATATGCAAGAGTGAACGTACTTGTGATACCAACTGCTGCTGTACATTACCAGCTAGTTGCATTTCTAAAGCCGATGGTGGTACGGATTTTGTAAGAGTTGTCGGTGGTTGTTTGGACAAACGATCGTACTGCAATCTGTGTAAATCCATGATAGCTTGACCTGACTGGTCTAGCTGAGCCTGTAAAGAAATTGAATGGTAGGTAACAGAAGGACAAGCAAACCTGAATGCTGTTATTCTTGTTAACATTCATGCTTTGACGAATATCATTGATGAATGAAGTATCAATTCCGAGGTTCTCAAGAGTTTCCACATCGTTCAATAGATCATCCACAGGTTCATCTCCTTTGGGCTGCAAAAAAAACGTTCCTAGCGCCCAAATTGCTTTCAACTAACTGGAACGACTTTATTTTCCAACACTTTCATGGCTTTTCTGTGTTCGCCGTCTGTGAGGGTATCAAGCATATCATCGACTACTTTGATGAAATGTTCGCTGGAGTCACCCACCATGTTTCTCAAAGACATTACTTCTGAAACCATCGATCTGTCTCCGTATACTCTGAAATGCAAACGTTCGAAGCTATTTATATTTGAACAGTTATTACCTAAGTAGGAGATCAGAATCTTTTTTCGTCAACGAAGCCCATGTAGAATCATACTGAGGAGCAAAGGAACAGAATGGACCATAATTCAAATAATTCATAACAAACACAGTTGATAGTCTAAATTCACATTGAGAATATTCATTACGAGTTAACCGGATATACCTGTGATCGCCCAAGCTGAGAAGTCCGGGATTACCTTCATCCAGAGTACCAACAATATCGATAAGTCTGATGGGTTTCTTTTCCGTATCAGAAATAATGTTTAACGTGGTTGCACCATCCTGATAGAGGTATGATTGAATTGAATAAGAACATAAGACTTACTTTATTATCCATGAAACCTATCTCAGAAGGTACTCTAGTAGCCAAGCGCTCTCGGACACTGCTATCAGCCATTCGTTTACAATCTTCGGCCTTCATGCTATCAACAACGGCATGTCTGTTTTTGTTTCCAAGCCTATGCGACATTGGCATCAGGGGCGTTAATCCAACTTTTTCAAGTGGCACCTTAACATGAGAGGATGAAAGCGAAGGAACGGGAATTACTACCTGATTGGCGAAAGGAAGAGTGTGGAATATATAGCGGATATAGTTTTCAGAAAAATAGTATTTATTAATAGTAGATAGTCGCGTTGCGGCGAGATGATATACCTGAATTGAAAAAATAGAAAAATATAATTTGAAAAGGACCTACAGTATTAGGGTTATTGTAAGTTAAAGCATTTGATACAATCAGTTCTGAGTCATGTTTCATCTGATGAATGTTGTCATACTTATCTTCTTCGATTTTGTTTCTACAACAGATAGAGACAACTAAGTAGTTCTTGTGATGTTCTTATACCTCATTGATATAAAATCCATTGGTTGGGTTATGATTGTATGGTAATCAGGGGCCATTGAATTAGTTACAGGAAAAGCAAAAAACTCCTCAGGGTCTTTTGACTGGATTTTACGCAATAAGTGATCACACATAAGTTGGAATGAAGTATATCTGACGAAAGAAGAAGTTTAAATGATAATTTGAGTATAAGATTACTGTCTAATTGATGGTGGTTTTATAACAGGCTCAGGTTCACTTTCGGGACTCGGTGTTCTCTCTTCTGGTGAGTCTGGTACTGGAGGAGCTTTTTCTACAGCTGCGGATTTTCTAGCTTCGCTTCGCTTCTTTCGAGCAACAGAGTCAGTTAGTTTGGACTTTCTCTTCTAGCAAGACAAGTAAATAAACGAAAACAGTATGAAACAAACTTTTCTTTTCTTTTCTACTACAACAGCATCATCAATTTCCTCAGACTCGACCTCACTATCGTTCTGCAAAGGGGTTACGATGAGATAATGTTAAGCATTCTTGATTACTTACATCATTCTTTTCACTTTCATCTTCTGATTCTTCTCGTTTTCTTTTTCTTTCTGATCTTACAGCAACCTTATTTGTGGCGGATCCTGGAATATCAAAGCATAAAGTCAATTCTAAAGAGAAAAAAGCTACTTCTTGGAGTGGCATTACCCCTGCGTGTGGGTGCCATTCCGACCATGGATCTTCTTTCGGCCACATCTTCATCACCAGCAGTCATCCTGAAACAAACGTTTATAAATTCCACAAGCTGGAACTTGAAAATTATGTAGAAAACGCAATTATCGATAATTAAAGTTGAAATAAGTATTATTCAAAAATATTCAAACCATCTAGTGACGCGTGGTGACTGGAGCGCACAATTAGCATTAGAGCAGGTCACGCCAAATCCAAATCTACTTACATGTTCCTACCAGTCCTGTTACCACCATCATATTATAATGAATATCACGAAAATCAATACATAAGCTTTTTTCTTTGCCATCAGTTTGTTTTCATGGAATCAAAGTGCCAAAGCTTCAAAGATCAACTTACTGTAGACGACAACCCAGACGTTTTGCTGTGATTTTTAAAAGTTCCTTTTCTGTCTGCTATTTGTCTTCAAAGATTACATTGTGGGAAAAACATGATGAAAAACACGATGAAAGATGCTTTATTCAACATTTGCCATTAAAAACTCAAACTAGAATGGCAGACTTAAATCTCTTGACGAATTCTTGATATCATATTTGCCTTTTTCTGCTTTTTGCTGCCCATGTGTCCTTCCCGTTATAATTTCTTCAGCTTCTCATCTACCAAATACAATTACAATGAAAACGAGTTGTATCCAGTGGAACATATGAATTAGACTTCGTCATAGATTTTCCAATTTTTCTTTGAGAGAACACACAGAATAAAAATAAATATTTTCGAGATGCCAACAAGAAAAAGTTTTGGAAATTCACAAACTGAAGCAAAACTTAGAAGAGTTTAGCATATGAATCTGAATAGTCATTCAAGGTTATGAAAACGAGAAGAACTAGAACGTCCAAGGATATACTCACAGTAAATATGAAATATGAAAATCAACCGCTCTGTGCTCATCCACACTCAAAAATGAAACTGTGACCTAGGCTGGGCACGTGGCCGTATGCTTGTAATGTGGATAATCAAGAAGCAGTTTTTCAGTATGCAGAATAACATCAACGTTGATCACAACGGTAATCCGTCATACGTACATGATGATGATTCCCTGAAAAAGAAAAAACATCAAACGTTCATGATTCGAAAGGAACTAAAAGATACATCCGATAAAGGAACGTATTCAGAGTGCCAAAAGCAAACCTGGTCATTATTCAACGTTTTTGTTTCTTATCTTCAGATGTTCTACGGATTTTGTTGCCGGCGAAGCAAGCTAACTTAGCAGAGACTCATAGAAAAAGGCAAAAACCTGTTTTTATACGGTGCTTTAGCCAAAAGTGCTGCTTCTCTTCCTAATGTTTCTAATCATTAAGATCATCATGCCAATTATTTTGATTTTCAGTTGACATCAGCGACAATTGTAGCTGTGAAATCGCTTAGAACACCCGCAACGTTATATAACAATGTCCGAGTCAGCTATTTCATCCCCCCCCCCCCTCTCTCTACCCCCTCCAACTGATCTTAGTGTATCAACGCATCACCGTCTAGCACTTTCTTCTCTTTACTTTTTCTTTCGCAAACCAGCATTCTTTTTTTGGGGGGGGTAGCTTGAAAACATAAAGGCTAAATGTATCTGTAATTCATACTGTGCTTCTTTAATCACTGCTGCCAAACGTTTCAGACAGTCTGAATGATTTCATCTTCATTCTGCGACATTTGGCAAACTCTAGACATCGTTATCTAGCTTTGCATGTAGCACCCTCTCTTGTCAGATGAGAATGTAGGAGCGGCACATACTTTTCTATATCCTATTTAACTGTAATGAATGTTACCATCTCCTTGCCCCCATCATTAGAGTTGTTCAATCGTAAGTGCAGATAATCATGTGAATAAACCTATTTTGTACTTTTCCTCTAAAGGTAACATCATTCAAGTATTAACCTAGTCAGATAGAGAGAGAGAGTGAAGAACTTTCAAAAATCTTTGAAAACTTCCATCCAATGCGAACGGCCTTCGATTCTAATCGTGTTTGTGTTTATTTTATGAAGAATGACCATAATTTTTGAACAGAGAACATCCCCCTTCCGATATCCTTTCATTTCATCTTCCTTTTTTCGATTCGTCGTTAGTTTTTTGTGAAAGCACAAGTTGCATTATCTTCTTGATAGTTCTTCTTCCGTTCGCATAGATGAAAGAGCTTTTTCGTGTTTCAACCTCTATTCTTTTCGAATAGTATAATGGGGACTTGCTAGTCCATGGAGGTATCCCAGTCTTCTCATCTTGTTCAATTAAACATTTTTCTTCCTTTTTTCATCTTAGTATTTTCGGCTTGAATTCGTCGTCGAGGTCATCAGCAAACTGAGAGACAGAAAGAAAAAAGGCAGAATGCCTAAACCACTTCGATAATAAATTCATTCTTGGTTTTGACGATGCCATCAGCAGATGGCACTTACCGTTATAGAAGAACTAGATCCACTTTCCCCCTCTTTGGGTGTATACATGTGTGTGTATGTGTGTGTGTGTGGATGTGTGTGTGTGTGTGAAGAGATACCAAGAGTCTTAGCTTTTCTTTCATGTTCCATCGGGCATATCTTGTTCCAATCAGCTATTTTCGTTTTCATTATCTGTTCAGAAACTAACAATTCATATCACTACCTGTCTTCAAAGCCGTTCAAAACCTCACCGTCTAGACGAATCGACTTCCTTTTGTAGCAACACAGAACTAACAATCCTGCTCTATTCTTTGATGCCATACCAGTTCTTTGAAACTCATAAGATCGTCATGAACGTCTCTAAGAATATCATTCATGAAACTATGAAGCCTTGAAATCGAGGTCGAACACTCTTTTGATGTTCTTTATGCTCCGTTACTCTCTTCTTGTTTCTACGAGTTGTTTTTCTATCTGAATGTTCTTATTCAACTCCGAAGGTGAAGAAAGAAACAGATGTACTACTCATACCTTCCACTTATTCATTTTCCTTATCACCTCCTTCGGGATAAGTAATCAATCAAATGAGTAGTACATCAATACTAGTTTTGATGAATCAAGCAGATCATATGTGAATGTGAATTTGATGTCGTTCTTTATGTTACTTTCATTCTCTGCTACTTGTTAATTTCTCAGATGCATCGATGGCTGTTTTTGGCGGCATTGCTGCTAGTCAAACAAGGATCAGCTTTTCAAAATGATACAGATCAAGGGTTCGTTATACTGCTATTGACTTTCAAAAACTTAATTTTAGCATTTTCAAAGTTTTCCGAGTCTCTCCTACTTCAGAAACGCATCTCAAGCATCTCATTCACATCTTCGAAACAGCTCCTTCTGAAGTATGTATCTATTTTCGTAATGCCGTCTAGATAGCATATTGTAGAAAGCTGATTTCTGGCATGCCCCTAGCCAAGTTAATGGCACTGTGGACGTTATGATCTCTCCAGAATATACTTTTGATTTCGAACAGTTCCTGTTGGAACATCAATTCCCTTATCATATTGCAATTGAAGATCTACGAAAGTGAGAAGAAACATCGCAAATTATGCTTCCCTTTCTGTCTTTAGAATGCTTATTGAGAAAGAGTCCATTATTGAAAAACATCTTGATGATGACAGTCTGCAAGACATCGAATTGAAGGAACAGACAGTCAAGCGCTTCTTGCGGTTACATGATGATGCTGGCACAGGATTCATGAGTAAAATCAAGTAATGGAATGATATCCAGTTTAAAAGTATAACACTTCTATTAAGAATGGGAGAATACTATTCTTATCACACAATCTGCCAATGGATGCAACGAATTGCCGAAAAACTCCCGGAAATTGCGACTGTCGTTGACATTGGAAAGACCGTAGAGGGACGTCGTATACTAGGACTTAAAGTTTGTCGAGTTAGAAATTTCTGTAATACAATCGTATTTGCTAGTTTGGCAAAGAACGACCAGATAAGAAAGCAATTATCTTAGACGCTGGAATTCATGCTCGTGAATGGACTGCTGTACATACTTCCATGTACATCATTAACACAGTCATTTCGTTTTCGTTCCGGCAGTTTTAACCAAACAGTTACAGATTGTGAATCAAAGAACTTCCAATGCCCAAGTCTCCTCATACTTGAACGACCTTATCATTTACGTTTTCCCTGTTCTCAATCCTGATGGTTACGAATTCACCAGAACTGACACTACTAATCCAAGAGTAAGTAATGAAACAAGTAGAAATGTTGAAATACTTTATTAATCAAAACGAACCTCATACAAACCTGTTTGAAAGTTCAGAGAAAAGCAACCGATCCGCGCGTCCGCAAGACACAATTTAAAAAGTTCCACGTAAGAGACGTGATATTCTAATTAATGCGCGATTTTCAGAATTATTCAAGCGTTCAATGACTTCTATACTTTAGGCACGCATGTGGCGCAAATCACGATCACCTGCGAGATGTGCCTTTGATGGAATCAGCAACGCATGTTGTCAAGGTGTTGACTTGAACAGAAACTTCGGCTTCCGCTTTGGAGGTTCAACCGTTTTCATTCTCTACTTACCAAACTAAATTCTAGAGATCGGAGCTTCTAAGTATCCATGCTCTGAAATATATCACGGACCATCCGCCTTCAGTGAACCTGAAACTATGTGAGTTGTGTGCAACTTCAAACAGATCTAGTCTGTCGAAGAAGTTCAGTTGAAAGAATCCCCTTGAAAAACTGAAAACTCGCTTACCAAATTAGAAATATCCAATGATGTATAATCCATTTATCAAAACAGTCTGCAAGTTCGTTGAATGAGAAAAGCATTTGTTGTTGGATTATTTTCTTTTATTTTATTACTCGAATATGCTTTCCAGAGCAATCAGCGAGTTCATGCTCAGCCAAAAGGAACGTCTTCAAGCTTATATCACTCTTCATGCCTATTCACAACTTTGGATTTACTCTTATTCACATCGTAAATTTACATATGCACCTGATATTGCTGAAACAGTAAGTCTCTCATCTTCTTTCTTTTCTTTTTTTTGTAAAATAAGACATATAAATTATATTTTTATTATTAATATAAGTTTGTTTAACACATTAATTTTGCAGAGAAGAGTTGCTGCGAAGGCTGTTGAAGCTCTTGGCAAACTGTACGGAACCAAGTATAGACATGGCACTGGGCCAGAAATTATTTGTGAGTCTTCAAGTTTTCATCTCGCATTCCATTTTGTATTTGACAGTCATCATCATTTTCTTTTTTCAGACGCTTTCTCAGGAGGGAGCACAGATTGGGCTAAGGAAACACTCAAAACCAAGTACTCGTATACGATCGAAGTCAGACCAACTTATGAAGGTAGGAATACGCTCAAAGTTTGGAACATCCGAAAACAATTGTCTTAACGTAACATTATTCTTAATTTCTAGGTAAGAGTGTTTGGAGAGAGGGTCCGAACGGTACTCAAGTCTTGGTACATCTATTGGGTGGGCACAGTGTGCATTAGAAAATAGAAAAATAGAAATTAACGATAGAATTACTCAAAACCGTGTGAAAGTGTATGTGTGTGTGTGTTTGCGTGAAAGTTGGAGACAACGGATGGCATTTCATAAACCGTGGTCTATTTAGAATGGAATGGATTTGTCTTGGAGAAGAATCAACTCATCCCAACAGCCAAAGAAACATGGGCCGGAATACAAGTAGTCATTGATGAAGTTCAAAAACAATTCAGAGATGGGATAGGTAAGAATAGGGCATCATATTCTGGACTCAACAAAACTTTTCTTTTAGTTAGCGAGCAGAAGCTCAACAGGATACGCCAAGAGCGATGCGCTGATAGACTGGCAGGCTGCCAATCATGGTTGAAAGCATCACCAAATCTGTGCACGTAAGCAGACAGTATGAGACATATGATAACATATAAATCATTTCAGCGCTGCGCCGCAATCTATGGTCAGGGACTGTGCCAAAAGTTGCAACCTATGTCATAAGATCGCGGTGGCTTAGATGAAAGCTAGTGCATGAATTGAGATCGGGTATATATTTGTCTATAAGATATCGCTTTGCATGACATATAATTGGCCTTTTTAAATGAAAGTTTTACTTACCGCAGCGTTTTCTCAGTGATTATCAGAGAGCTCTGATTTTATTTTTTTTTAAAGATTTTTATTTCATTAAACGAGATTGCGGACTGAAGACAATACATAACTACAAACTGACGGGAGATCTTAGATCCTTCACAATTTTTTTGAATTTGATAAGGTTATTGTACTAATTAATGTTACGAAGTTTAACATGTTTAGGAAGCTCCGTCCATCAAGCTACGTTTTTATTATATAAGTTTCGCGTAACGGAATCAGAACCTGAAGAACTACTTTTTGTAACAAACAGCTAACGTGCAGGACCAAACAACCAAATTTGATTTTTTTGGATTTTTTTCAAACGATAAGAACTCACCGACGACCTTTCACCGCATAATTCAAAGCCTGCTCTAATATGGAATGCCACGCCTTCAAATTATTATTTTGTTTGAGATTAAGCTATCTACACGTACCCTCCTCTACCCCGGGCTACACGTCCTCGAGACATTCCGCGATTCGATCGCATAGGGCCTCCTCCTCCTACTACATTTCCTCCCATGTTCATTCCATTATTCATATTGTCTTTCATGGACATGTCAGGCATTTCTGTAAAAAAAAAAGGATCAGTATGAGGTTGCTAAGAAAGTTTTACGATTATTAGAATCGTCATTGTTTCCTTCTCCGGAACCGGAACCATCTGTCTTCAGATGAGCTGGCGTTGTGTCTTCACGGATCTAAAATGATTTTAAATAAGAACAGAGAGGAGGCTATGATAATCACCGGCTGTAATATTTTACTGAGTTCTTCCAAAACTGATGTCACTCTTTGGTAAGCAATATGAGCTGGTGCTATAGTTTCAATCTGAAACCGGAGGTCAGAAAATGGCTGACTTTTGAGATCATCAAACCTTAACATGCAAAGGACCTCCGTAATGAGCATACTGAGGATCACCGGTCATTAAAAGCTCATTTTCCTGCAAATTCAGAATTAGATACATTATATTATCGTTTATGAACTTTTCTTTGATCCTTAGTGGATCCTCTCCCTAACACGTATATATGGCACTTATGCGTTTTCGAAAGGGTTTGTAAAGTAGCACCTTTAGGTCCGAGAATTTTACCAACGAAGTTAAACTTGAAAGTAAACACTTAATAGAAATTTCTGAACCACTCGGTTATACCTTAGGATAGCGATAAACAGGCACTAAAACTTTCTTAATAACTTTAATTGGTTTTTGAATATCAACTTCTAACCACTCGGGGTCAATACTATTCTCCAACTTTTCAGATTCTTAATATGGCGATGAAATTTCAGAAAACGATTAGTAGGATAAACCTGATATCAATAATCTACGAGCATTTTTAAATTGTTCCCCCCATTCACCAGCTTGTTCAAACGATGCAATTTCATTTTGGATTTCACCTATCACAATCTGGAAGAAAATAATGGATTGCGAAATGAGTTTTTGAATATCACCTGTATCTCTTCGTCGAGTGGGGAAGGTGGAGGTCCGCCTTGTATTGGCAGAGGTGGAAATCCTGTATAACCAGGAAAACCATACCCTGGTGGAGCTGCTTCTCCGAAAGCTTCAGGACCTTGACCATATCCAGCTCCGTAACCATAATTACCATAAGCCTCATACTATATAAGGTAGTGATAAATAAAACAATACTATCGAATACATACTGCAGTTCCTGCTCCGTAACCTGGCCCGAAATTTCCAGGTCCAGGAGGGTAAGGGCCACCTTGATTTCCGCCACCCCGATTTGATCCTCCACTGCGAGAGTTTCCGCGGGAAGATGGACCACCTCCTCTAGATGGTCCTCCTCCACGAGGAGCTCCATACTGATCTCCTCTAGTCGCCATTTCTAAATCGCGATTGAAATGAATTTATACACAATTTAAGTTTGAAGAAATGCTCTTCACCAAGAAGATTAACATCTTACTTGTTTAGATATATTGTCCAATCGAAGAGCAAGTAGAGATCAACTATTTGGTTGCTTCGAATAGTTCAATATAATTTTCAAAATAAAAAAATTAAAAGATTCGAATTTTACATAGAATTTGCTCCAAAATGTAGTGTTCGAAATATTGAACGGCGTCCGGCAACCTGTACCACTAATGTGCGTCGATCTTGCAGGAAGCGCACACCACTCGTTAAACACAGTGCAAACTTAGTCATGCAGTGTTATTAGTCGATACCCCCCTTTCAAGCTTCGAATAATAAATATATCAGAAGCTGATTATTTTCAAAGTTGAGATGGCCACTTTCGCGTCGTCTTCGTTGGCTAAAACAACTAGTGAGATTAATGATGAAGAAGCTGAAGCCCCTTCGACGAGTACTCAGCCAAAACGTATTCTAACTCAAGAAGTCAGTTCTATATTGGGTCTCCAATCTGAACTATTGAAAGCTAAAGAAAGAGCTGCTAAACTACCTCAGAGGACAGATTACAGAAGTGGGAACAAGGTAAATCATAAATAGTGTTCAGCTAACAATGCTTTGTAGGGTGTTTTACATGTCAAAAAAGATGAGAAAGCATCGCTCAAAGCCGAAGCTGCTCAAAGAAAAGCACATATCAAAGAGTTGGGTAGAGAGTTAGAAAGAGAAGAAGCTGAACGGTTAGCAACTATTCAACGAGTCATGACGGTTTTCCAATCATTTGTTACTTATGCTGATCATACTGTTTAGGAAAAGTCAGCACTCTACGACAAGTTATCGAAGGGGAAGGTGATGCTTACGAACCCGGATAACACTCCAGTCGACTTCATGGTTGATTTCATAACAAAAAAACGTCAGAATCAAGAAGAAACTAGAATGCGAGAGGAGTTCGAACCAACAGCTGAACCTTCTACTAGTTCAGAAGTGCAACCAGAACATTATGTCCCAGACGAAGGTTGAGTTCAATGGTAGTTCTCGTTTCATTGAAGTCTTTCAGAACGCAGAGTCTACGGAGCTTCTCATGTTCGATTCTCACAAAATGAAGAAAAGCGTAAGAAACAGATGGATGATCTTTTGAAGATGAGTGATGACACTGCGGCAGCTCGTGAAAAGAACAAGGTTGGTTCAGTTGTTGTCTTGTTTTCAAGTATCTTTTCTTCAGTCGGTGATGGCGAAAAGAGAGCAAGTGAAACGAATGAAAGTTGCTCGAATGAGAGAAAAAATGGGATTGCCTCGTAAGTTCTTTGAGTTTTTTTTGTTTTAATACTATTGCTTTTTAGCTTTGAAAGACCCTACACCTCCACCTGAGGTCGACTTGACCGAGATTCCGTTGCCTGATGATATAGAAGAAGAAGTGGAGAAGCAGGTTTTTGAGCAAAAAGAAGTTTTGTCGTTATCATTCTGTTTTAGCATCAGAAAAGAATCAAATCCGATCGTGAATGGGATCGTGGTAAAGACAGGTATCATCGCTGGATCGAAAAAGAACGGGAAGAACGTAACGACGAATTTGCTCCACCAAAGTTCTATTAATAAGTTGTATATTCATATGTCTCAAAGTCATTATAAATCATTATCTTTTGATCTTCATTACGTTTCGGTGGTTCGGTTCCATTTCCAAAAACTATTTTTTCACACTGAATTGAGAGTTAAAAACATTAATATAACCATTTTGGATGGATAATCAATGGGATTCAGCTCCACAGCAGACAAGAACATGGGAACAGTTGATGGCCCTGAGCAAAGTCATGAGGGCTGAGGTATTAGTATTATTCAGAAACTTAAGTTAAAGAATAACGTTAAGACAAGAAAAGCTATGTCTCTACCGTTTTCAAAAGTAGACCTGGTCCCCTCACCCGATGGTTATGCCATGTGAGTAACCTGACCTTAGATTTTACAAGACTGTTACTTCAGATATGCCTTGGGAACAGCTCCTGGCAAGTCACATCAAACTGTTCTTTCAACAAATGTAAATTCGTCACGTCCTCTAAGTCTGTCTTCTGTATACGAATCCGATTTATTAAAGTATATCATTCATCATCATCAATGACAAACTCATTACTTTTAAGATCTACTAACCATAGTCTTGACTTTTCACTCATGTGTGAGCGCCAACGCACATCAGTAGTTAATGGAGTAACGGAATACGCTGTACATCCATCAGGCAAAGTTCTACTGCTATCCACAGGAGAACACTTGCTCAAGTATGGTTTGAACTTGTTTTCCAAAATAATGCAACCGGTCTGCGTAAGCAAAGAAACAATAATGATTGGCTGACGCGTCTCGTTAATTCACGTAGAAAATTAGAATAGCCGTATAGCTTCATTTCGTGGAAGTCATCCTTTTTCAGAGTTACGGATTCGGCCGTTCACCCTGTGGCTAGGGACCCGAAACTAACTGCCTTTGGTGCCCCCTCATTCATATTTGACGCTCAAATATCCCCATCTGATCCTTCATACATATCTTACGTTATGAACAAACAGGCAAGAAAGCAAAATCAAACACCATAATCTCGATATTTTAAGGTTCATGTAGAAAATGACACTGGACTAATATATTCTACATCTAGTCAAGAAGAACATGTAACAAATGGTGAACCGGCTTTCATTACTCAAGAGGAGTTAGATAGATTCAATTCTGTTTGGTGGAGCCCCACGAAAACAAGGTATGCTTACATCAGACTTTCATCATTGACTGTTGCCTCAATCGTTCAGACTTTTATATGAGCGAGTCGATCAATCGAAAGTTGATACATTATCGTTTGCTTGCCCTGGACATCCTCCCCCAACTCCTATGAAGTACCCTGTTGCTGGAAGTAAGAATGCTACTTCTGAGCTCAGAATCATCGACATCGAAAACGGAAAGGTAGTATCCTGGTCGTTTTTCTGTTTAATTTTTTCATTCAGGTGAAAGATGTTGGATTGAAAACACCTTTGTATGCTCAATATCCCTGGATGGAATATGTAGTGCGTGCTGGTTTCCTCAATGATGGAAGAACGTAAGGAAAGAACTCTGTAACCATCTTCATTTTTTTTCAAGTGTCTGGGCTGTAATCATGGACCGAGCACAAACGCGCTCTTGTCTGGTTATCATTCCGGAATGCTCATTCGATGGTTTCGATGATCTTCATTCGCCTGTACCAAAAAGTGTTATCGTTCGGGAGGAAGTCTCAACTTCTTGGATAAACGTTTGTTGATGGTTGAGTGAATTTGAACTGATCATGTCCATTCCAGTATCACAACTTGACGATCCCTCTTGACATCCCCAGTCCTGCTTCTATCAAGTTCATTTTTGGTACAGAGGAGATGTCTCAATGTCATTTCATCCTGATTGACATGTCCATCAATAAACAGTTGAGTTATTAAATTCCAGAGTACATTCTTATTTATATGATTCAGGAAAGAAACTGTTGAAACGAAGTACTTCCCAATAACTGCTGGGGATTTCACCATCTGTAAATCGACACAACCTGTCGTGGACTCCAAGAGAAACAATATCTTCTATGTAGCGAACTATTCAGATCCTACTGAATGGAATATGTAATCTTTACTGTTCTCATCATTTTTTCTATTTCCTCTTTCAGTTGTGTAAGTAATTATGACCTAAGCTCAGGACAACCCAAATTACGGCAATTAACTCCTAGTGGCTACAGCTTCAGGTTAAACATCAAGACTTCAGATTTATGTTGGTAACAAATAATTTTAGAATTGAAAGAGCCTATCACAAGCTTTGCCTGATTCCTGATGTTGGTTTCATCTGCTGGTTGACATCATTGAGTAAGAAGCCATATCGGAACTCTTTTTACTATTTTCATTATAGCTCAACCTCATGTCTGTCAGTTCTACTCTCTCAGTTACAACAATCATGATAATCTACCTGAAGCTAACTTTGTTACCACAGTGAGTTGTTGTTGATCATTCATCAGTTCTCCCTCTCTTCAGATTACTACTTACGGGTGTTCACTTCTGCCCCCTATAGCCTCTAATTATCCGGAGATCTTGAAGTTCAAGTCAAAGTATCTCAATTTCTTTCTTAGTTCGTCTTACTTTATGTCTTCCAGGAATAGTGGATTTATGCATATGGCCATGGTGATCAGGCCTACTAACTATGATCCATCCAAGAAACACCCCGTTGTTCAATTCGTTTATGGAGGACCAGGAATACAAGTTGTTCGAAACGATCACACTGCGTAAGAATCTCTTCATTGTATACTTTCAAAAACTATGTGTTATTGAAGTTGGATCTCTTTCCAAAAATTCACGAGACTTGGTTATGTGGTCGTTATGATCGATGGTCGTGGCTCTAGCAATAGAGGACACTCATTCGAAGCTCCTATCAAGAATAATATGGTATATCTATATACGGAATCATATCCTAAGAAATCTTATAACTTTCAGGGTAATTGCGAAGTTGAAGATCAAGTGGAAGGTCTCAAAGAAGTTGCTCGACTGACAAATGGTTTCATCATTCATAAGTGTTCAATTGAACAATTATAACTTACAGGGCTAATGGACTTAAGTCGCGTTGTAATTCAAGGATGGTCTTACGGTGGATATATGTCTTTATTATGTTTGGCTAAATATAGTGAGGTGAGTGTTGATCTGTTGTTAGTTTGAAACTCGAGTAGGTTTATCGAGGTGCGATTGCTGGTGGAGCTGTGACAGATTGGAGATTGTACGATACAGCATACACAGAAAGGTACTTAGGATACCCCTTAGGCGCTCAATATGATACATGTTCTGTTTTAAAACTGGTAGAGCAATTACCTGACGAGTTAGTTTCAAAAATTAGACATCACAATTAATGAGATCTATTTATAGACCAGGGCGATTGCTTTTATTACACGGGTTAATGGATGAGAATGTACACTTTAGACATGCAGAGGCTTTGATTGAAGCTTTGATCAAAGCTTCGAAGCCGTATCAACTTCAGGTTTGCTTATAAGGAAGTATATTAAGAGCTTTCTCTTCTATAGATATACCCTTCTGAGAGACATGGTGTACGTTCTCCATCTGGTGCAAGTCATCTCGACGCAACGATGCTGTATTTCATTCAAAATCTGCTGAAGTAAATGTACATGTTCATATCCATGTTGGATACCACTATTTATAACTCGTAGTCGCTTTCCACGAAAATGATACTGGCCAGAGTTTTTAAATATAAAATATCATATTTAAATATATATGCACGTACGGTGTACGAAAATAAATTTTAATTTTAAGTGCATTTTTACAGTTATCAAGACAATTTCACTTCCCGTTAATATGTGTTTACAATTGCAACTATCAAATTGGTGTGACATCTTCTAATATACTATATTCCAGCTGTTTATAACCACTGTGCATAATGAACAAGAAAATCAAAAAGAAATCAAAAGAGAGTTGCATCGGCCGGGAATCGAACCCGGGTCGCCCGCGTGGCAGGCGAGCATTCTACCACTGAACCACCGATGCTACGAGATACAACGTTGGATATTATGCTTTATGGGAAAGTACTTGACAAATATTGAGGATCACAACTTATCAGTATATCTAAAATTTTTCTGCAATCATGAAGGAACTACTTCGATTCTGTACACAAGTTGCTTCATATTCGATCATTTGGCCATAAACTCAAGCCAATCGGCTTTCTCTTTATCACGGCAACCTTACGAAATTCTCCTGTAAGAGAGACGATTTCTCCATTTCTAATGACTGAGATGATAACGGAAATCCACCCAATGAAATTCCGTTAGCTGAACCTGAAGAAGGGAGATGCATAGGTGCGAGACCTGAAAAGAGTCACAATGAGATCCGAACTTGTTTCAAAAAGTATTGATTCAAAGTAATATACCTTTGTTTCCCATATTACTCAATGCCGATCCTATCCCAGAAGGAGGGAAAGCGTTCGGGTAAGATCCCGTGGCTGCACCAGTTTGTATGCAAGAGAAAAATGACTGTGGCTGTTTCATGTCGGGAATGAATGTTTGTTTCTGATCGAATGTGGAAAATGAACTGAACAGTTCATCCGAAATGACATAGTTGGGATTTATATGTTGATTGTTGTTGACAGCTGCGGCATTCTGATGACTGAGATTGTTCGAACTCATCCATGACCTGAAAGATACAGAGCATATAAAAACTGAACTGAACGAAAGTTTCTGTAGCTACCATGATGGAATTTGCGTGGATGGAGGCCGAAGATCAGCTATAGCATTTCCTTCCTGCTTCTCTTGTCTTCTGTGTTTTGCCCTACGGTTTTGGAACCAAACCTGAAAAAAAAATGGTTATGAGTTAGCATGTAGCTCTCATCAAAATGACCCTGAAGGCTGCATACTAATCTAACTCCTCACAAGAAAACAAACAAAAGTATAAAACTCTTTAGATTCTTATCTTTTCATCTTTGCCCAAGACTACTTTTCTATTCATAGAGAGTCATCGTCTCCTACAAAAGTGACTAAGACTGTACTCGGATTTCGGGACGGATTAGTGTTAACTCTGCGGGACACATAAGAAAAGGCATGGCCAAAAACCTTGCAATGGACAGCCGAGAGATTACAAGCTAGCGCTAAAGAGGCTGAGAAACATGTTTCCTTCAACTCCGGGAAAAGTACTGTAGCTCGAGAAAAGTCAAAACAGTGAAAATAATAAAATGTCTGAGAAAATACGTGAGATCGTGTGACTCTCACATAGGATGTACAATAACCATCTTTGGTAGAATAGTTGTCTAACCCTATGTTTCAAGTGCATTGAAATCTTCAAATCTAGATGAGCATTTTTTAATGTTTAGCATGAGTCTGTGGAATTTCGGCAGCGAAGATTCACTCAACCGACCTCGATGGCACTGACTCATTCAGCTATTCGAGCAGACTAATTGTTTTGACAACTACTTGTTACTTGTTTGTCTTTCAACCGCTTTAACCTTAACCGTACATTTTCATATGTGAAACTCATTTCGAACACAGTTATTATGTCACAATCCAAACTATAACGTTCGGCGCGCATATACACACGCAAATATGCTAATTAGACTATACCGTCAGACGCGTGGGCGCTTACATGCATTGTGTTTTTGAAGTTTAGCTGGCAAACAGAACGGTTGTTTGAGGTGTCAATGAAGATATTTTGCTCAAAAACAGATGATTATAAGATGGGCCGTCAAGTGGTATGTTTCATAACATGAGCCCACGAAAATTCAAAACTACAATCTCATTAAGGGAGTTATGATTTTCTTCCACAAATTAACCGAAAAGTATAATAGGATGATGTTAGTATCAAAAAGCAGGTACGTCATGGTAATTAGAAGCAAAAGTTAAAATCTCTTGAGAATCATCTAAGCTCCGATTATGAAAAGTGAAAGAAGTCTATGATGATGTCTAATGAGTTCGTTATACGATTACAAGTACAACACGGTGCAGCCCGCAGAAATGAAAGACAAAAGAATAAAATATTTGGAGCGCCAAGAACGTTTCTTTTAAATTGAAATAACGATATGATTGTATTATCTCATTAAAATCCAATATGATCAGAACCAAAATCTATGAAGAAGGCTATAGTAAATGAATATTCGAAGATAATAATATGAAGAAGAAGAGTTCCTCTCTCTCTCTCTCTCTCACTCGCAGGATGACAGTACCGCTATGTTAATGGCTATGACTAACCTGTACGCGAACTTCTGGTAGTTTAACTTTGGCAGCTAAAGCTTCTCTGGCATATACATCTGGATAATGGCATCTTTCAAATGATTGTTCTAGCTCGTGAAGTTGATAAGTTGTAAATGTCGTTCGATTTCTTCGTTGCTTCTTACTTTCCTATAACAGAACTGTATGATCATACATCGATGAATCCCGAACGGCTTACATCTCTTTTCTTTTTGAAATCATCTTGCTTTCCGTTACTACCTGAGATCTCGCCATACGGTGAAGAGACTGAAAAATTGTGAATTGTAAAGATTGTTTTGGAACGCATAATCATTTGAATGGTGGGTGGGGAGATGGTTAAAGAAACGTGAAAGCTAGAAAGAGTTGGTTGTGAACAGAGGAATGGTAGTATCGACTGTAAGCAGTCCTGTCGCCCAAGGAGAAAAACATTATTGAGTTATAGAATTAGTATAATCAGATAAGCAGACATGTAACCCTCAATTTCTTTCTATTAGATTACTCTACTGCCAGTCGGAAAGCAATGAAGCGACATAGCCTGTGATACCTGTTGCCAGTATAGGCATAGACTGGATTTAAATCGTTTGAAGGAGGAATGAAAAACGGATACAGCGTACTAAGTAATGTAATAAGAAGTTATCTGAAGAAACTTACGTGGGGTACATATTTGTTGAAGATCATTTGCGTACATGACTAAAATTCTTCTGATTCAAGATTGAGAATGGAAGAGAACAGTCACCAACCAATGCGGGCCGTTGATTAGTCTGTAAATCACAAAACAAATCTCTCTCTTCAGTATATAGGACAATAGAATGAGGTAGAAAAATATACTGAGAAAGATTAAAGCCAGGCTAAGAGGAGAGGAGGAGCAGTCTGGTTAGAACCAATTATGGAAAAGGGGTGGAGCAGAAGGCGGGGCGAGACCTTTCTGCCGACAGTCACGTATAATGACAAAATGAAAACTAAAAGCTGCTTCATCGATAGAAAAAAAAGAGATTTTAATTTAATCAAAAAAACGAACTATAGAGATTCGAGTTCGACGACTTCTTCCAAATGCAAGGAACATGATGGAAGAGCAGTAAATTAAAAGGCATTTGCATTATAAATGATGGTATTTGGTGCTGCTTACTCAGAATCACACGTAACTACCGAAATGTCAGTCAATCTTAATATTTTCCTCCAATGATCCGTGTTGTTGATAGTGTCGATAAGCTTTAGTTAGCTCTGCTAGTTACTCACTTACGCCCTCACGTGCTGTTGCGTGTGAAAGTCTTTCACATAAAAGGCTTTGGAGCGAAAAGTCAAAACTGCTCGTCATTTGTTACTTGCAAATTCAGAAAAGCTTTAATTCATTTAAATAAGTCAGCAACAGCGCATCATTTGATTGTGCTCAATGAGGTGAAAGAGATGTTACTCAGGTGTGCTCACTCCTAGCCCCATTGGGAATCCAGATGGGAGAGAGACAATTCAATATTCAACGTGCTGAATCAAGCATAACCGTGCATAAATGAGTACGAATCGTTCAAAATTTACCTATCTCATCAGAATCTTCTTCAGATGAAAGGTTCCATTTTTAAAATATCATATCTTCCTTAATCAGTTAACACCTAATTAGACCATTGGAACCATTAAATAATCATCTTCTTCTCACTCCAATGGCTGTCTGATACCTGGGGAAAACCAGAAACACATTCACTTGCTCATTAAAGTTGAAATTTCCTCTGAACTAACATATCGAGAAAAAGCCGTTTGAAGAACAAAAATCAGTTAGGAATCGGCAAAGCTTGAGTGTCTTCGCATCTCGCCAGCTGAAAAGAACTTGTTGGAAGCTCAAAAAAAAAGAAAAAGAAACATATCATATAGCAACAAAAAAAAGTAATTCAATTACAGATAATCGCATACTTAATTCAAAGGACAGACTGAAAATGTTTGTTGCTCAAATGCTAATATCAACGTTCGTACGTGTGAAGTACGGTAATCGTTTCACGCATTCTGAGATATGCTAATTAAGGATCAGCATTTATTCCACCAATGAGACGCGAGGACGGTTGATTACTTCTTCTTCTTCAGGCTATCCAAATCGAATCTACGATACCTAGTTTGTGTTCATTATTTCAACGTTTCCAATGATTGAGCTGAATTCTTGCTCCCATATGGTCATGTTGTCACAATCAATGAGCTGTTACATAACGAGAGTTTCAAAATACTCTTAAACGTTCAACGTCTTAAATCTGCTAGAATCTCAGCTCAGGTCAAATGTTTTAAAGACAAAAACTGGGATTAGCACTAATTATACGTGTAGTGGTAATTAACTATGGAGCGTAATGTCGCTTGGCATCTTCTCCGATTTCACTTCCCGTGTTCAACGGGACAGAACCGAGAAGGAATGAAGCCAGCTGTCCACCAAATTTTGTCTGATTCTCATGAGAAGAAACAATATTTAATGATTCGCCAAAACATTTCAGGCAAAGTTTTGCTCATCTGGCGATTTCCTTTTTTAAAGAGGCAAAGCACAAGCCATGGAGCTCAAAAGACGATGTTATGGCTTCGTCTTTCCTGTCAGAGATTACATACTGGTAATTTGCTGGACGGTTAAGATGTCAACTTCGATTACGAGAGTACGGTAGCTGTCTATTCAAGACTGGTAATTCGTTGAGAATTTTCTTCTGTGTACATCTTTTACTGCTATGAAAGGGATGGGGCAAAAGAAAACTAAGTTGAGAGTAGCTAAACAAGGAAGAAGACCTAAAGAGTGTCGGAGGGAGATGTTCTCTAATTTAATGGACAAATTCTAAGCACATCTTCACCCAAAATCGTCTCGCGTCCGCGGATTAGTCATGACAGTGCCAGGCCATTCAGTAATCTATTATGAAACAATGGAAAACTTTGCGCGAAACTTCATAAAGAGAATAAAGCAATTACAGGAAAAAGACGATACAACACGTAATATACTTAAGGAGATTAGTCTGAACACCTAAGATTAATATAAAGTTAAGTCGTTGTCCTGTTCGCGGATGAGCAAGTGTAGGCACAGGCATAGTTTCGAATCGGAATATCAAGGTTGACAGAGGAGTGTCAAACTTATGTTCTAGCAGATTTCCTATTAATGGGGGACATGGAAACTAATCCAACTTTGTAAATTCCATTATAAGTTGTAAACCAACAGATAATAGCTATGATAGCAGCAAAGACCTGTAATAGTTTCCTCTCTCTGATTAACTAGCAGTCACTAGCTCTTACCTTATCGTACCAGATATGATAATAAATACAAGAAATAGTTATTTGCCACAACTTAAATTAAAAAATGAATAAGTTGTGATGAAGATGAGCCACATACCCAAACTGACAACAGAACAGCCAATGCAAGGAACGAGTAGGAAGTGTTTTTCGTTCGTTCAGCGAATACTGCTTTACCACTTGCTCCTTCATATGCATTATGTTTCGACAACTGATTCCAACATTTGAAAGATTTCGCCTGTATGTAAATGAAGATCAATAACAATGACATATAACAACAGCACTTCTTCATGAATGATGAGCATGCTATAAACCATCAGGAAAATATGTCCCGAAATGTCGAGGCCTTAAAAAACATTAAACATACATATATCATTTTCTTAAAACATTCTTACCAGGTGTCCATACACCATTACTTTGCCTACACTTATCGCGGGACACATTGAGAGCACCGTGACAGAACGATGTTCTTTCCAAAACTTTGTGGAAACTGAAATTTAACATTTTTCAGATCGTTTTTTCTCATGAACAAACATGGTTGTGACGGAATACCAGCAGACAGTAGCTATTCCTAACCTTCCAAGATCATTTCCCAAACGTCTCTGATGTCTGAAATCACCAAATGTTAACAGAGATCAGTTCACCAACAATGAATGCAACCGCATGCGTAAAGAATAACATTAAAAAGCGTTTCTGCGTGAACTTTGCGTGCAAAATTAGCAAATGCCGAGTGAATGTGACGGAGGAGATCTACGTGGAAAGAACTCACACGTCGTGTGCGCAGGATGTCAAGTAAATGAATGGCCCCACGACTGCCAATGTCCAAAACCATCCCAGTTTAACACCATATTGATTAAATATGTTATGTTTCTGGATTTATACTTATACACCATAGCAATGGCAGGAAAAAAACCTGGACGAAGTAGTTGTCAGTCTCCCAATTAGAAAAGATAGGTAGAAGTGAGAAAAGACAAACGTGGGCAAAAATGAAATACATGAAACGCTTCGTTTCACAGAACAGGAGTAAACGAGAGAACTATAATTTGGAAAAGGTATTTCAATCAGAAACGCATTCATCATACCGATAGAGCTAGACCAGTAAATACATTCGGAGTATATCCAGGAGTCCTATTCGGACTCGACGGAGGACTCATCGTCTATTCTAAAGTATATGGAAATCTAACGTAACTGTTTCGAGAAGATAGAAGAGAATGGAATGAACCGCTATGGGATTGAGATTGGCATAGAGTAATCTTTATTAACAACAACAAAAACAAAAATTCAGCTAGCTAAACTATGAATAACTTTCAGATCGAGCTCTTTCTAAGTGTAAAGACTTCCCGCTCTCATCACCAGAGCCACAACGTTTTCCATGATGGTTTATGTTCTGTAGCAGATGAAACATCTACCTTACCTTCAAGGGCAACTCCAGCTTCTCCCAAATCACTCTTGAGCTGAGATTCAACTTGAAGCAAAAGCAGAGGGATGAATACTAACCTGGGCCATATGAGATCCTAGTTTGGTCCAAACTTCACTAGTTGCCCACAACTTTTTTCTATTTTCCGCATTTTCAACATTGTTTTCCCAGGCCTGCTGAGCTCTCTCTCGACTATAATGAAGGAATAACATAGGTAACAAATAATCATCAAAATAACTCACTCAATGAAAGTACCGTTTGTAGATGACATTTCAGGATCACAGAGTGCATAAAGGATCGGTCTGACTGCTTTTTCTGTACGACGTTCACCCATTCCAAAACTAAGACGAGTTTAACATAAGGAAGAAACTGATGAGAACTCACCTGACTAGTTTCAATAACCACCGACTAAGGAAGAAGGTTTGATGATCCATTTGAGCTGTGAGGTTCGATTTCGTTCTACCTGGATCAGCGACGTTCACAGTTATATTGGTTCCTAGGCAGAGGAATAAAGAGTTTGAATTTGGTAAGCATGTCAAACCTGCTAGACGCTGACTCAACTCGTAAGCAAACATGGCTGAAGCTAACTTGGACTGTTTGTAAACTTCGAAACCATCAAACTTCTTCTTCTTTTCGGAGTTCAAATCATCCATTTGAATTTCACAACTGTCCGTGGAAAGCGAATGAGAAAGAAGGTACGGAAACTAACTCACTTCCTGTTAATGATGTTCGTATTCATAAATACTATCCTGACGGGATTTTTTTGAGCCAGAAGTTGATCCAATAAGAGAGCAGTCATGAGGAAACTACCCATATGATTAGTTGCCAATGTTTTTTCAATTCCGTCCTGAAAACTGGTGTAATTAATGCAATTCTTGGTGATCAACTCGAAACCTTGTTCACTATTCTCTCCGGAGTCATAATGGCAGCATTATGGACGATTCCATCTATTCTATCAAGTTCGAACTTGCCTAGAATATACTCAGTCACCTTTAAAATAAGCAACCTTCTCACCTTTTGACACCTTCTGAACGAAAGATCGGATGCTATCAAAATCTTCAAGATCACATTGACGACAATAAACCTAAAGGGCGAAGAATCATATATGATCTGGAAACATCATTACTTGTTTATTTCTAGTGTTCAGAACGATGTCACGTCGCACTTGCACACACTTTTCTCTATTCCTAAAGAGCACGAGTTAATGAATGGTGCGGAATGAGACATTCTCACCTACAAGCCATGATGACTCTGGCATTTCGTTTGGCTAACTCTTCTGCTGCTGCCTATATGCAGGAATGAATGAAAATGGGAACAAGTGAAATCTCAAAACCTGTCCTATGCCTGAAGTAGCGCCAGTGACAATATACGTTTTCCCAGTTAAATCCTCATTCAAATCGTACTTTGTACCTGATTGTGTTGAGCTTAAACATATAAGCGTTGACAAGAGAGAGAAAGATGTATGAACTCACTCCCAAATATGATAAACACCATAGGCAACACCAAAGCCTGAGAATGCTAAAGACCATGGTGATGTTAGGCCTTTGACAAGCCTTCTGAAGGCCATGGGAAGTTCTGGATAGGAGAGAGTAGTAAAACCAAATCTTCATATAGAACGGCAAGATATGTGTAAAGGTACATTCAAACTTCAAATATTTAATCATCGACTAAATATAAAATTTTACTTAAAACAAATGTATACAATGAATAAATTATCACGAATTGAACAATGAAAAGAACAAGTTGTTTACCCAGAACCGCACAATCATCAAATACATAGGAAGAGCTAAGTAAAATAACAGTAAATCTTCGATCTTAACTTAAATCTTCATAGTTCTGAAGAGAAATAAATTAAACAAGCTTTTTCGCCTCGAAAAATCCTTTCAAATGTCTCATTTGCCAGGCTCCTGTCAAAACAAGGACGAGGGTTTGCCCGATTGACCACCACAACACACGTTGATTGGTGGACTCTGAGGTTTGACGGAATCTCTCTTCTCTGCAAGAAAACATATGTTCACTTCGTCACGTTTTCGTGTTTGAGTTACCTGTATCTCTGGTAGTTCTGTTCTTTTGTGATTTGTTCGACTTGATCTAAAAGTTGGCGAACGCGAAGTTGAAGCTCATTCAGCTTGTCTCTAGCAGCAATCTGAATTAGAAAACCGGGATAAACCTTTTTTGGTCATTCAACTCAACCTGTTGATAATCCTGGGTATGTTCTCCAGCTTGAATATCCAAATGAACTCTAAGTTGAGCTCCGCTGAACCAAGCGGAACTGTTGGAATACAAACAGATAACATGCTCTCCAGGAGTATTGGAAGTGAAAGTGAAACGTCCCTCAGATGTGTAAAGCTTTGATAAAATAACCTGAAAAAAAAATAAAAAGTTGATGGAAAGGACATGAACGTTACCTTCTCTTCGGGATCTTTGACCTCTACGTGCATTCCTATGTTTGGATAATCAGCATACCCTTTTGTATTAGGATCATAAAGCTGAACCTTATAGTTACCCGTCACCTGAAAGGACTCAATAGTAAAGTGATAAGGGAGCGCATACAAACCATTGTTTCATCTGGAATTTCTTCAATGAAACATTTCCTCTCAGTCTCAGCAATATGGAAGTACAAAGCTCCAGATGCGACGATGTACGTCAATAACAAAGTTAAACGTAGCATCTAAATATGATTTTGATAAAGGAATGAGTGAGTCTTGGAGTAAAGTATGTGACATATCGATCTGAACGATGACAACAATCAATTCAAAACATAATATTAATAAAACTCTTATATTTATCATTTCAAACGTATTTAAGGCATTTGGGGTATGGCAAGACTAGACGAGTATTCAAAGCAGGTAAGAGATGCTAATCATAAAACTGTATAATTATCATGGAATAGCTGAAAACGGCAAGAAAAAACAAAAATGGCGAGAATATAACGTAAAGACAAAGTTTAAAACCATTAACAAGGCACATTCAGACTGGCATTGAATTCTTTGAGATTACCTCAGTCTACAACTAAACGTCTGGGAGATAAATACCAGTAAGCAAGAAGGCAAGAATAAATTATAACAATTGGATAAAAAATGGCTTAGTATCACCTAGGTTTGGAAGAGCGTTGCTTTTTCAAAAACCCATCGTTGGGTTCCATCTTTAGCATCGCACTCCTTAGCTTCTAGAGCCCACTCACCATCGTCTTTCTTGAAGGCTAACAAGCACTTTCCTCCTTGTGTGATCCAGCCAGTGTTCTTTTCAATTCTTAGACGGTGCGTAGTCTGAAAGATGAAACTATAAGTCGAACTAACAATTATCAACTCACAGCTCCGCAATCTTTCATTACAACTTGAACATTACGATTGATGTCCAGTAAACTCAAGCACAGCTTTGAGATAGTGCTGTGTAAGGTTCCTTGCGTGGCATCGTAAGCCCATTCCTACAAAACAGATATAAATATCAATCAAATGAAATTAGTTGAATGGAGCAGAATTCATTAATAGTACATCAAAGCATTCTATCGTATTGATAGTTTGCAGAACGGAGACGACACGTAGGCTGTTACGTTATTTGCAAATATCACCAGCACTGCGACTATTACGCATTCTCTCGTCAACTAGTAGTTTACCTGATTTCCTCCTGTTCCATGGCACTGGTAAACACCAGGAGTTTCTCCAGATTTTTTTCCTAATGTATCCAAGCACATGTTTCCGTTCTTAATATGATACAACTGCCCGAAGTCTTTATTGGGAACCCTTCAATACTCGAGTCATATTTGGAAGGAATGTAGAAACTCACTTCAGTTCAGGATAAATCTCTTTCAAATACCACGAGAAGGGTTTACACTGAAGACGATCACGTAGAGCAAGTCTCTCAGAAATACTGAAACAGTTCTTAGTAATATTTCTATTCACGCATCAATCTATCAAGTAAGCGCATATTTTCATTTCGTACGCGTAGCGCATTAGAACTGGTTGTGTTTTCCTCCCTTTTGCTTTTGAGCTGAGAAATGCATGTAACAACTTACTCTCCGAATTTCACATAACGAGCTGATGGTACATTCTTAAGGTAGATAGATTTATAATCGTCCATCCAAACTTCCGCGGCTCTCCTCGTGTTCCTTTAATTGTTGAAATTATCCATTTCTCTACTCGTGTTCGAGAGATACTCACTTTTGGAAAACGTTTCCTGAACCGCCAGGGAACGTGTACGGATGTTGTTTGCGGAACACGTGACCTACTCTACTGCAGGGCAAAATTTCTAAGGAACCTCCACATTGCCAAACACGGAAAGACATTTCTGAACGTTCTATGCTCAAAAACAAAAGAGTTCAAAGGCTACCTAAGTTTTCTCCTCCCCAAATCTCCATATCCATATCATATGTACCTAACTCTTCGAACCAATCTTTCCGAATCGTGAACAAACCACCTGCCATAGTCGGAGACCTACGTACATCGTAATGTCAAATTGTCATAATGAAAGATATTACTTGATAGGGCCGGTGGGATTATTATGACGTTCGTCTCTCAGTGATCCAGTAAGGAACTCCCATTTGAATACCAGATTCCAATCAAATCCTTAAATTCAATTGTGAGTGTGGACGAGAATAGTTTGAATACCTCCGCGAAGATCTGCACTCGCCGGAATGTAGTGAAAGTTGTCTAAGTTGATGACGTCGATGATAGGAGCTACGACAGCTTTTGGGTTCTGAAAGAAACGTGTTGAGTATGGAACTGTGATCAAACAGTTACTTGTCTGATTCTTTCTAGGAGAGGCTGTAACCACATCTCATTACATTCTACGTGACTGTCGAGGAAGGTGAGAATCGGAGCAGTGGCATACTGAGCTCCACGAACACGAGATCGAATCAAGCCTGATCTATTGACATTCCGCAAAACGGTCACTTTATCTATCTGAGAAATTTCTCTACCAACTGATTCTAAATGAAAAACATTGTAACTATCATTGAATGCTTAAAGTGTTTACCGTCTTCAGAAGCATCATCAACCAGAATTATCTCTTTCAAGAGTTTTGGAGGTGATCTCATCAACGCACTAACAACTGTTCTAAGAAGTGTAGATCTAGCTTCGTTATGGTAGGTTATAATGATAGATGTCGGCTCCAAACTCCATTCAGGATATTCCAAGTTTTTGCAGCTGAAGTTATAGTTCAGTATCCATAACAATATATTCAATTAACTTTCTCTCCCGACTATCCATAATGGGTCTGTCGATCTTTTCTGCATCGCTAGCAGCTTGATTGAACTTATTTTTAGCATATTTATCCTGCAGGACAGAATGAGATGTGAAAAATAACTCAATATACCTCTCCCTCTTCCCAAGCACCTTTCCTGACATAGCTATCACTGTCAAACTCATGCCAAGGTAGAATTGGCTCAGGTTTAGGCAGAAGAATTGTTTCCGCTTAAACATAATTGAAACACAGTATGCAAACTATGCAAACCTGGAACCTTAGGAGCTGCATAGGTGGATGGTTTTTGCAACGCCGCAGTATTCTGTTGAGCATCATGCAGGACCTTCTGTACGATCACGTTTTTACCTCCCCCATCATGAATTTCATTGTTCTTGAAAGAGAGGATATGATTGTTGAGAAGAATTCATATAGTTACGACGTACCTCGAAAGCTAGAGGCTTATCACGAAGTGTCACAATGTAAATGATACCCGCAAGCCAGAAAATACATAAATAGAAAATACACGTATGAATTTTGATGAGCTTGACCATTATTATTAACTTCCTTAGTAGGAAAAGCTTTATCTGAAATAAGAATGACTTAGAAGGAAACGCTCGATAATTTCTTCTAGATCTATGGTTTCATCTGAAATTTGATATGAGTTTGTTGTAAAGGAAAAGCATGAGCGAGCTTGAATCAGACGTAGTCATAATATGCACAGCAAAACGATTCACATTAAGATTTACTCCAACTAGCATAGCAACTAACAAATATTTTCGCAGCTCAACAAACTCCCCCCTTCTCTCTCCTCCTCTCTTTGAAAATAAGGAACAAGAACAACAGCGGACTTCTTTTTCTCAGTTTTATCTGCTTGAACCTTCAAGGAGCAACAAGTCAAACTTGACACAAAATAACGGAAATAACTAACGGAAACAATGCTCTTACATATGAACTAATGGCAAATGGAATGGCATCAATGTCCTTTCGTTTCAATGAGGAATCAATTTCACATTTGAAGAATGAAAAAGAAAAGAAACTTACTCGTTGTAAACAGAAATACGGAAAGATCCTGGTTCGTTGCGCAACAAATGCTAGTTTGACCCTCTATCGCCACATCTGGTCTATAACATGAGCAGAATCAGTGCATATGCCAGTAATTGAATCTTTTAGAAATTTCGATGCCGACAAACAAGTCTAATAATTCGTTAGAAATAGAAAATAATGTGTTTAAGATGGAAAAAGAGCATGAAAGGATGGAAAATGAAATTAACTTTTGAAAAAAGGGGTTTTCAGAAACAACAACCGTTCCGTGCGTCTTGGATAACGTAAAATGAATAATGACGTGGAAATAGCAGCTAATTAGAATATCACAGTATTTGACGTCACAAAATAATCATAAACAGGATAGAGAAAGAAAAAAAATAGAAAAAAGTATTTAAGGCTGTAAAGCCGTATAAGGAACGAGAAACTGTATAAACAAAAGTTTATAACAAGAGATCCAACAATTATATACAATAAACAATTTAAATTATAACAAGTGGCTGTTTTGAAATGAAAAACTAGACTTTCTAATTAACTGGGTAAAAACCTTTGATCACAATATAGAAGGCACATCTAAAGCTACTACTGCTGTGTGATAATACGGGAAAACTCACAGCCTAATCGCTCATCTTCTGTCATCGATGAAGCATAAGGCTTCGGGTGTGGTATGAGATGCTAGATGATCACCAACACCATTAAGAAGTATCACCTAGTCTAATAAAATTAACATTCCATTGGAAAGCAACTAAAAGCTCGCCATCAGCGTAACGTTACTGAATAGGTTTGATGCAGCTGTTGCTCAATCTGCTTATGTATAACGTTCACTTCATCTTTGGTTAACACTTTTTCGTGACTCCTATAAATGATGCGATATGTTTGACTGCGAGTCCCCTTCTTGGGGTTCGTAAACTCGTCAGTTAAGGTGACCTATGTAAGAAATTTAATGAATTGACTGTTTGTTTCATAATACCTGTTCAATAAGATCTCCTCCAATAGTCCTAATCAAATCGTAAACGTTTGATGTCATATCATTGAAAGCAACAGCGTCAGGTAGGAAGAAAGAGACGTCAAAAATAACCTGAGAGAGAGACAAGTGTGAAACATAGGTTGAAACTCTAGAACCTGAGGATGTTTGCTGATTTCTTTATACTTCACGTTGTCATCATATGCTTTCCCCGAGAATTGCGATAGGAAGCCTGTATCCTTTGACCAAAATAACCTTATGCAAGAATTAGATGAATTGTAGGCAGAAGCTTTACCTAATATCCGGGATTCCGTACAGGACCATGGCTATTCTCTCTAGACCAATTCCAAAAGCCCAACCCACTTTATCTTGAACACCTGCAGACTTTAATAGCTTCTGCTCCATTATACCGCATCCTAACACTTCAAGCCACTTCCCTTGGTAGAAAATCTGAAAGAGAAAAACTTAAGATCTCGAAGAAAATAGGATGTTTACCTCCAATTCATAAGAGGGATGGGTAAAAGGGAAATAAGCATCAATCCATCTCTTCTCGCACTTTTCACCGAACAGAGCATCACACAGACCCTGCAATATCTTGTATCCAGAGATTAAGCGAGAAAAATACCTCT